GCGTAAACTTCGGATGGCAGTTTGCGGTAAGCAGTTATATTCTCCATCTGAACTTATCGCGTATCTTGTGTTTCGTTTTTCTTTTCTGCGCGCAGAACACCATGCTGATTCTACCACATCAGGTTGGTAGGTCACTCAACATGTGGTGTTAAGCCTCATACACCATGAATCGTTCTCTTCTTTTGTAATCAAAAAGAAAAAGGAAAAGGAAGCATATAAGCTATTATCTAACAGTTATCATAACTTTACATAGTATGAATCATCTGATTGGTCAATCCTTTTGCAGTAAGAACACTCCAGAGTTCTCCCAACATCTCGTTCCTTTAACACGCTTTGAAAAACGGAAAAATGAGCTCTATTGCTTCGATAAATGATATATTTTGGGTTGACCTGAAATTGCCCATAAAACTTAGAGGGGTTACTCATAAAACATTTAGTTTTTACAAGTCGTTTGCGATAATTTTTGTAGCTGAACCTGGTGGTTACACTGATTGGTCTGCATGGGGGGAATGTAGCGTAACATGTGGTGGAGGATTTCAGTCACGAAAGCGGAGTTGCACCAATCCCCCAGCATCTCATGGCGGATTGAATTGCAAGGCGCAAAAATTGGGACCAGCAGAGGAAGAGAGAGCATGCAACAATAAACAAGATTGCAGTGAGTGTGACCAAACATAGAGTGTAATAGAGTGTTATGTGACTTTTTTTTAATCTAAATTTGCGACCTTTGACCGAGCAATTTGAGATATTCGTGAAAAATTAATTCCGTTTTGCACGCCGCAGTTTATTTATTTGCATATTGCGTTTTGTCGGGCTTGAAGTCAACAAAACAACAAAAAGCTTCTCAAATATTAATTTATAAATTCAACTTTAGAATTTTCACATTGGCCAGGCACATTAATACCTAGTTTCCGTCCAGGTGGGCCAATTCCAATGAGAGATGTCTATATCTTATTTGTTAGAGTTGAAAGATTCTAATTTTTTGTTTGTTTATATTTTTCTTTACTGTTTCTATCGTTTATCAAATGTACAACATTTTAAAATGCACAAGCAGAACTATTTTTCTGTCAACCAAAATGGTTCTTGTTACTTATCTTTATTCAGTGAAATGATTCATATCATTAAAATTTTTCAGCTCTGGATATTGCATTTCTAGTGTTCTGGTTGGTTCACTTCACTCCGATTATCAACTCAAATTCCGAGTCACCTTATATGGAATTGAATTGCGTCAACAGTTAGAAGCTAAAAGTTTTTTACTGAAAATAATGAAGATTAGTAAAACAATTATTCCATTCGCGCATGTTGGATATGAGATTGGTGGTTACAGCAGACCCAGCGTAACGCGCCTCGTTGGCTAGTTAGCATGTTATATCCAACGCGCACAGATGGAGTAATAATTTATAAATGATCTGAAGGCTTTTAAACATAAAAGAAATCATAAATTAAACTTCTATTTTTTATTCGACAGGTTGATTACGAAGGCAGGGAATCAAAGTACTAAAAAGAGATGGCCAATTTCGATTAAGGATTTGACTTTATGGTTTTTAATTTTAGGTGTTGGTCAGATATCATAAACATCGTATGTAACGTCTTTCAAATCATCCCACGTAATCTTATGTCTAACACTGTCTTACACAGCTGTAATGTTGTTCAGAAGAGATATTCTTTGGCAGTTGTCGCCTTGCGCTTGCACGAACAATCCGTTCAGCTGTGCAGGCTAAGGAAGAGCCGTGAGCTTGAGCCGGTGATAGCAGACATGATGAAAAGGATAGCTGTTTTTATTAAACACGTTGATAAAACATAAATAATTACTCAATTAGAGAGAATCAAAACTAGTGGTTCACTCGTTCAACATAGTCGCTCTAAATCAATGTGACTTGCCAAACGCACTTTCTTGTTAAACATTGATATGTATCAGTCTTGTTCAGCAGACAGGAAGCGAATCATTTTTTATCTTTTAAACGACATTTCACCGGTTACTGCACTATTGAATAAGAAATATCACCCACTTCCAAGGCATAACGATATTTCCTCTTTGTTTAAGCGAGTCCTAATGAAAGTGAAATGCTTTTACAGACAAATCCTTCGAGGCCCTTCTTCAACCTAATAACTGTGAGGTAAACAACTTAGAATCAAACTGATCAGCGAGTTCATATCACAACCAGAATAACCAACATTTCTTAAAGCGCTTTTCAATTGAGTTTTATAAAACCAAAACTGAAGTAACCACGAGGGCCAATAGGAGTCATGGAAAAAAAAATTCAAAGTGCCAGTGAAAACTGATGCGCGTTAAAACCCGAACAAGTAACTTGTGAATGGTTTTAATTTTGCATCTGATTGGTGGAGAAGGTGGCGCGAGTTTTCCGCACCAATCACAGAGCGAAGTACAAAAAAACCAATGCGGCCCTGCATCAAGTCCGCCACCCAACTGAAATTTCTCTAAGTAGATTACTCAAAGTTTTAGTAAGTACGCATTTGCCAGTAATTGCTTTTGGAACGATCAGTCAGTAGATCTTAAAAACAGTTCTGGTTGATAATGATTAATTTTGACAGGTTTTAATCTTTCACGTCGATTAGATAAAAGAACACTACGACTTCACTAATATATTGTTATAACGTGTTGAATAAAAGCAGAAAATTACAGATAAACAACAAGTACTCATAATAACCATATTTATTAATTAACATGTAAGCGATCTCCGAAAAAAAAATCAATAAAATTTCATATTGGCAGGGGAAAATGTATTTCTTTCTGTTGTGTTTCGTGCTATATTCTTTATTTATCTATCTTCCTTCTTTTGCAGCTCGATTTTTTAGTAATGCTATAAAAAATTTGCTTCAAACCGATTTAATCTTTCGTAGAAAAGGTTGTGGTTATTCATCGTGGTGAATAACAATAAAAGCTAAGTTTTTCGCTTGTATCACGATGTAGTCACGTGTGATGTAGATCGCGACGTTTCGACTGCATACTGCTGGTCTTCTTCAGGCGATGAGGTCGACTGGTCATGCGTGATCTTAAAGGCATGATGCTCTGCTGTGATTAGTTGTTTTTCAACAGCTCTGATTGGTGCATTTCGATCCTTGCTGATCAGTGATTTGCTCCCTCGGCGGTCCGCTGTCGCACGGCTGTCCTGTTGTTGTGTTTTTTGATCGTGGGCATCCACGCTTCTGGAATTTCTATTCCACTATCCCTTTTGATGTTGTTAGGGTGAAGTCTTATATGAATTGCCTCTTTGACCCTGCGCGTGTAGTAATAAGGGTCACGATCAATAAACTTTACTTCGTTTCAGAGTGGCTTGTGTCCGGTGTTGTGGGCATGCTCTGAAACGGCGGAGGTCTCGGTACGGGCGAGTTGAATGTCTCGATCGTGCTCCTTAATTCTGTCTTGCATAGGTCTTCCAGTCTCTCCGATGTACACCTTGCCGCATTCACAGGGAATCCTGTAAACTACGCCATCTTGTTTAGCCGGGTCGACAGCGTCTTTTGGTCGTACTAACTGAGATCTTAGCGTAGTCTCCGACTTGAAAACAGCGCGTACGCCTTGTTGTTGTAGGCAACGGCGAAGCTGTTCGGGCAGAACTTTGACATAAGGTAAAACCACAGTAGCTTTAAACTCGTTGGCGGGTTCGGCACTGTTTGGTTTTCCGGTCTTGGTAAGTTTCTGCAAGAAGAAAAATGATAACCATTAGAAACCAGAACAGATGACAGATGTTTTTTCTCCTCGGAGATGACAGAGGGTTTTGTTACGAGATGTTTGGCGCGCTCGTAAAGGCACTTAACAATACCGCGTTTTACTGACTGAGGGTGGTGTGAATCATACGCTAAGTATTGATCGGTATGCGTGGGCTTCCTGGTGGTGAGGCGGCCGTCAGGGTTCTCTTAAAACTGCGGTGTCTAGGAAGGCGAGTTTGTTGTCTTTCTCTGTCTCCATGGTGAAGCGGGTGGAAGGCTGCTGGTTGTTTAAATGCTGTAAGAAGTCATCTACGTTTTCGCGATCCAGGATGGTAAAGGTATCGTCTACGTAGCGTTTCCAGATCCTAGGCTCGTAGGATGATGTAGTTATCGCCTGTTCTTCGAAACTCTCCATGTAGAGGTTAGCAATAACAGCGGAAACCGGACTCCCCATGGCGGCGCCGTCTTTTTGCTCGTAAATCGATCCGTTATACTGGAAGTATGTGGATCTTAATAGTTGCGAATCGCCAGGAGTCTGACTTTGCTCGAGTGAAATTTAATACCAAAAACAAAGATGTGGAAACTCAATGAGAGTGATTCATATGATTTTTTCTAATATGTTGTTACGATAGAGTAGGAAAGTCCGACAGAGATGAACTCGTTACTCGAGTCTGGCTGGAGAAACGTAAGATTATTTCCCTTGGCGAAATCGCGTGGAATTCGTCATTTATGAAGAAAATCCTAGCAGTTCAGCCGAAAATATTTGTAACTGGCGAGCCAAAACATCCAGTCACGCCTTGAAGACCTTCCTGTCACACAGACCTGGGGAAATGAGAAGTCATGGGAGATTTTACTACGCGGTGATTGAGTGCCCGAGGTTGCAAATGTGTTACAGGCAATAGAGAATGGGGATCCCCAGCATTGACTCCTCAAGGCTGTCCTAGGGCAGATTGAATGAAAATGGTTAGAATGTCAGGAATACTCCAACTTTTTAATTCCAAATCCACCAAAATCACTCATATACCCTGGTTCCGCCAAATACTCATCAAATCAAATCAATACACTTATCATTCATTCACGGCTTACATACATTTGGTTACACGAAATGGACACAACATGAATGGTTTGAACATCTTGATGCAACCAAAAAGAATCTTTTCTTAAGAAATCAGCCAAGGCCATAAATTTAAACCTTACACCCTCCTTTGATTGTCACATTTTGGCTGTCCAAGGTTTCCACCAGTAACAGCGTTAATAACGCAATACTTGAGCAGCAACTTCCGTAGCAACTGAATGGTTGTTATGTGAATCAAGAATGTTCTCTTTCTGGCTACAAAACTCACTACACGTTAACTTAGTTGCTTCTATCCTTATTCCGCTGCAGTGTGAAGAGGTACCTCTTCACTCGAGGGATGGTGAGTTGAAAATGCCTGCTTTTTTCTATATCGGTTTTTAACGTAAGGTGCGCAACCTTTAAAAACTGGTAAGAGCAGTTTATTAGACATTTTCCATAACACTTAAGATATGCTTAATTCGATGTGATGTGGAGGTGCATCCATACGTGCATGTATGGATATATATCTCAATTCGGCTTTGCCTGTAAATGAAGGGGCCTGAATTTTCGTCGTTCTGTACACAATTTTTCTTCGTCAAATTGGTTCTAGTGCGATTTCTTCTTTGCCTATTTGTGACTAGAACGCGAAAATGTTGTACATATGATTATCGCGTCTCTATCATCCATCACACCTCGTACACTAGCAAACATAAACTAAAACAATTATTTGAGTTTGGGACTTGCCATGTGCTAAGGTTCGCAGCTTTTTGAATAATCTTTTTCCATGGACTATTAGATTTTTTAATACCTCGGGAAAAGTCTACATCACTCATAAACTGGAAGCCCTGTGAGCTTTCCATTTGTAGGAACCCCCGAAAATGCTCGTTATGCTGTTCAGGACAAAAATAACCACTACCGTTGAAAACTAGTCTCTAGTCGATTGAAAGCGAAAGATAATGAGGCAAATGATATCCATGCTTTTAATTATCTTTCCGAAGCAGACACAGGGAAAGTGCGTGAAAGCCTGCCTGTTGGCAAATGTCAAGCGTTTTTTTCCCTTTTTGAACAATCGCGAAAATACTGCACGGAACGAGGTTCACGCAGCTGTGAAGAAAGTTATATGTGTTTAGGAAAATTTGTAGAGATATATATTACACTTAAATGCGTAACTGAGTTTATGAATCAACACATTGTCGCTGTGTTTACAATGAATTTAAGGGAAATTGAAAACCTGGCTCCGCAGGGAGAATGCTTAGTTAATTCAAACTGGAATAGAGGAGAGTACGTTTTCGATATTAAGAAAGGAGATTCATCTATTTTTTTGTGACAATTTTTTTTTTGACACATGGCCATAGCCTGAATAAGAAATTAGAATTATGTTTAAATTCAACAGTGCTCACCTATACATGTTTTTGAAATGGATAAATGTTACCAAGGTTATCATGAAGAAATATACTTTTCAAATGTAGATACCTCATCGAGGCCGAGTGGTGTTAAGAAAGTACACCCCTTTAACAGGTCAGCCTTTCATAAACAATCCATGATTCCACGAGAAGTTGTAAAGAGTCAAATCCTTTCCCACGCTTATATATAACTTGATTACCTGCGCTTCAGATTATGCTTCAGGCCTTTACAATTGTATGACGATCCTTCGTTTGAAACTCTATTTCATTAAATGAAGCCAAATAGGCCTTATATTCTTCGGATAAGATTTTTTTCGAACGTTGTAGAATTGATCAGGACTAACTGAACCAGTTTGGTTCTGTATGGGACTTTTATTCGTTCAAAAATCAATTGAAATTGGAAATTTACTTAATTAAGTGGAAGACGCTCTTCTCATCAACGAAATGCAACGAAGAAGACAATTTTGCCGATTCTTTAAATTCCTGAAAGACACGGAGATCAATAAAATCGTTCATTTCACACCGAAGAGTTTTAACACCATGTTACCTACATTTTTTTAAAGCAGGATGTAATTAGGAAGCAAAATATGAATTTTTAAACTTAGACCTATGCAAATGTCATGAATTATTGCCTTCCTATTTGATTTATGCACTTACAATTTGTTTCAACGTGGATATCAAACGAAACATCTGCCTCAAAACGTGTCAGACATTTTATAAAAAAAAAATTCTATTCAGCTCGAGTTTAATTTTTAAACTTAAGTAATGAGAATAGGAAACGAGTCCAGCCGTGGATGTCTTTTGAAAATGTGTTCACTCTTGCGCCTGATGAGTGATTTCGGGTGAAGAGCTCAGAAGATATCCTTGTTATTAGATTGAGATAAATTTCCTGACGTGTTTGCTAAAACTCAAAGGCAAAATTTCGCCTTCTTTCCTGCCAATATACAGAGAGATGGAACAGATTATTGGGATAAAATAATTGATTTGTTTGCATTTCTTCCTTAACTAGTAAATGCGATACGTATTTAAAGCAAATAAGTAGATATAAAAAACTGTCTTATCATTTGTTTTGAATTAATGGGTGGTTTTCGGGGAGGGGATCCATTATCTTTTAAGCCAGGAGTAAATATTTTACATAACCTGGAAACAAGAGAGGCCAGCTGCGCGCGATATTATATTAGTTTGCCTCGGTCTTTCTCACAAGAATAGAATTGAGTTGTATTTGGTCACAGAAACCGAAATTATCCTTGTTCATATTGTCTCGTTAATCAATCTTAACAGGTAAAAATGAAGCGAAACTTGCCTCTAGTTGTCATCATGGTAATGGCATCAATTTATGGTAAGTTAACTACGAGAGGAACCAACCAGGGTAACGTTAACTTCATCCTCTCAAAAATTTCTTTTAACGCTGAACAAATTATGAAATCATTTATTTATCAATTTATCCGTTCTTTTTTTTCTGTTTGTCGATTGATTTATTTTGTTTAACCCTTCGTCAGAGAGAGGTGCCCTGACCAAGGGCTAACGCTCGAAACAACAACTTTATAACGTCTTTACGTTGCCCAATTTCATTATTAATGCAGTTGATAAAATCAAATCATCTCAATGCTCATTTGAGTTTAGTTCAAGACGTTAAAATTACCTTATAACTGGTTGTTTTTGGTGAGATAATGCTATACCAAAAGACAACTATTTAAGGATCGCTTTGGACACCGTCTTGCTAACAACGGCCAACCGTCTTTTTTTTCGGAAATGTACGTTTGAAAACCTGCTTGATCATGTTTTTAACAACATACCCCTGGCGCGTTTTTGATATTCCGAAATGCATTTTATTTTCTTATGTTGTTGTGGAGATTCGTCACTGGGTCGGATAGAATTCTGGGAATCTTATGGTCAAATCTATCGAATGCCACTCCTATCTCCAAAACTGGACGAGATCTAATCTGAAGAAAGATCTTTAAAACAAACGCACTTGTTCAGTTCGTCTGTTTTTTGTTTTACTGAGGTTTCATATTAATGCGGTATGGGTGTAGACAACACTCACTAACGTATTTGCCTCTCTTGTTTTAGGACAAACTGTGAAAGGCCAAGTCGGTAAGGAAATTATCACTGTGCTGAGTAACTCACGGTTCTCTGTAACAATGCAGAAAGCTAGCTAAAATGCTTTGTAGTCAATATCACTATTTCTGTCGTTAAGTCTATGAATATTAACATGATTTGCATGCGATGACGAAATCTAAAAAAATTGTCAGCCAAAAGTTTAAATTGTAGCATCTCATATTGAACGGACCAAAACTGTAGCGTTGTAAAACTAAAACGTAGATAATTTTTTTTCAAGGCCATACAAGGCTGTTAGGTGAAGGTATTCAGAAAATAACATGTAACATTGAAATCATGTGTTATCCATGTGATAGAAGACAAGTTATTCAGATATTCAGGATGAAAATTGTGGAAACAACAATTGGTAAAACGCTGCAATCGCATTACGACTAGGCATTCCGCAACCAAAACGTGGGAAGATAGTTTGGATTGTTGGGGTTATTGTGTTAACTACGAAAATGGTCATAAGTCTAAACAAGCGCCATATTTCGTGAATACGAGATTATTGAAACGACCACATAGATTAAAATGGGAAAACTTTTCGATTCTTTCAGTTAATCCCTGTGAGGGTGGAATAGATTTGGGAATCATAGTAGACAGATCCAAAAGTGTCGGAAAGGAAAACTTCATCATTGTGAAGGAAGCTGTGAAAAGCTTCGTGGACAACTTCGACATCCAACCTGAAGAAACTCACCTATCGCTGATTTTCTTTGCCGGTACGCCATTTCACATGTTTAATCTGAGCGATCCCAGTTATCACAGTAACAAGGCAGTGAAAGATGCGATCGATAGTCTTCCAGACAAACTGTACGGTGCCACGCGGACAGATTTAGCCCTAATGAAAGCCCATGATCATATGTTTCACCCGGGACAGGACAGACGTAAGAAACCAAATGTACTTTTGGTGTTGACGGATGGAGCTACTGCGTCGGAGTCAGCGCCATACAGCGAGACGGTCCCTCCACTTGAAGTAAGATGTATCATACATGTGTCAAGGGTGATCATGATTTAGTTGAAAAGTAGCCCTTGAAAGTTATCAGAGATTCAAGTTTCCCCCCTCACAACGACGAAGAGAGGGCAAAGTAACTTTCATTTTTGTACTGGTATCACATGCTGATATTCATGCATCACTTCTTACCTAAAATGGCACCTTTTATACACACTCCGGCAATATTTTATACCTCGATACATTAAAACACCAAATGAAATTGTTCATTACCCTCGGTTACTTGATTAAAACCATACCTCTTCCGGAAGGATCTTCTTTGTCAAGTCCGTTGTAGTAATTATATCCTAAAGCTCGGAGAGACACCTTAGTCTATGGACGTGGCACAACTAGATAACTCCATAGAATGATTACTGAAACCACTAAAATTAAAATAAACGGAAGATATACCAAATATCTTCCATAAATTCTGAGCGTCACTACTCCAAAGAAGCTGCACATAAACCACTGAGGGGTAAGCTCTTTGAGTACATGCAATGATACTGGTAAAAACTTTCTTCTGCTAAATTTCAGGACAAAGGTGTCAATATAATTGCAGTTGGTATCGGAAAAGGCATTAAAGAAGAGGAACTTCAAAGTATTGCCGGTGAACGTGGCTCGGTGGTGCAAGTTGCAGATTTTAGTCTTCTCGAAAGCAAGCTAAGCGAAATATTAGCTGACGTTTGTAGTAAGTATTTGCTTCCACACTTGGCTAAATTATCTAACAGACGCACAGACTCATCGTCTCACTGAATAACTTACGCGCTTACTCACTGACTCACTGGCTCACTGGCTAGCTGACTCACTGACTCACTGACTCACTGACTAACTACCTCACTAACTCACTGAATCACTGACCAATTGACTGACTCACTGACTCACTGACTCACTGACTCACTGACTCTCTGACTCTCTGACTCTCTGACTCACTGACTCACTGACTCACTGACTCTCTGACTCACTGACTCACTGACTCACTGACTCACTGACTCACTGACTCACTGACACACTGACACACTGACACACTGACTCACTGACTCACTGACTCACTGACTCACTGACTCACTGACTCACTGACTCACTGACTCACTGACTCACTGACTCACTGACTCACTGACTCACTGACTCACTGACTCACTGACTCACTGACTCACTGACTCACTGACTCACTGACTCACTGACTCACTGACTCACTGACTCACTGACTCACTGACTCACTGACTCACTGACTCACTGACTCACTGACTCACTGACTCACTGACTCACTGACTCACTGACTCACTGACTCGCTCACCAGTTTACCGTTTAACTGACTAACTGACACACTGACTAAAATACCCATGGACTCCCTAGCTAATTGACTGATCTACTAACTTATTGACAGACAGAGTGACAGACTGACTGATTGACTGACTTACGAGTAAATAACGAAGATCTGACTTAAGCATTGGTCAGCGACTTCAATTCTTCGGTTTTTTTCCCTTGTTCTGTTAGATGACCTATCTGTGTTTCAAGTGGATGTATATGCTGACCTTCTCTAACTTGACTCTATCTCTCTCTCTCTCTCTTCAGTTATAAATGGTGGCTACACACATTGGTCTCCCTGGTCAGAATGCAGTGCGACATGTGGTGAGGGCTTCCGAACAAGATCCAGGAACTGTACGAATCCGGAGCCAATGGGAGGTGGAAAAAATTGTGACGAAATAGGACCAGATGAAGAACAAGTGGCCTGTGACCTCCCGGAGTGTAAAACATGTAGGTTATAGGTCTAAATAAGTCACACGGACCAGAGGATGAAGTTCATGTAGTTGTTATTTATATTTTTCCGGTCAAGGTTAAGTTTTACTTCTCGTGCGTGTTTTGCTATTTCTCCTTAACAGAATGGTTGTCCATCACAAGTAAATCTCCAGCAATTCTAAAATTTTTATGACAGGATACAGGTGCTGATATGATGGAAAAGGCACTCAAACTCTTATCCTTACCTAAGAAAAAAACACTGGTTTTCAATGACGCGGCCAAGTTTTGATCCAGAGTCTTTCGATCTGCATTCAAGTATAAATGATGAGTAAGAGACCACAGTGACCCAAGTTTATGTCGACTCAGTTCTAGGCTCTTCAAGGTTCCATTTAAAAATTTATTTTAAGCTTAGAGGAACTGTTTTTTGCTCAGCCTTGACGTCCCTAATGACAAAAAAATCGCTCTCCTTGGAATTACACGTTTTGGGAACTGCTATCAAATAGCATCCTCTTTAAGGAGCCCCACATTTGCACAAGAATGACATATCAAGAACTGAAAAACAAAATTTTAGACAAGGTTCTAGAATTGCTAAACTTAAGCATCACGAAATATATCAGATAGTTACTGAATTAAAGAAAGAAAGCAAACCTGTACCAAAAACATTGAGAAATATGAGAGGCTCAGATAAGTTAAGTTCCCAATACATTTAACTCAGCACAATCTTTTTTATTCAATTTTTCACTTGAAACAATAGCAATTGATGGCGGATACACTCGCTGGACGACATGGACTAAGTGTAGTAAAACCTGTGGTACGGGTACACAAATACGAGTACGATCTTGCACTAACCCGCCACCGAATGCTGAGGGTAAAAATTGTGATCACTTGGGTAAACCCAAGGAAGTGAAGAAATGCAAACTGCCGAAATGTCCGAAAGGTAAGCGAAACAAAAATCTGTCCTCATCAAGCAGTATTTAGATCAGTACTGGTCAGCGGTGAGGATGATGGTGATGATAATAACGGTAACGATGTTTAGGTAATGGTGGCGATAGGCATTGGCGATCGTAAACACGTAGACTGATTATGTTGCTATAACTTGAAGACTTATGGGGCTCAAGAAATCAATGAGAAATAATCAGCAACTTAAAGATGAACCAGCCGAAAGAAGACTGGCCAGTCGAATTCGAATATATATATGCATCTGTTTTCACAGAGTCCAACTTTAGCAATTCTTTATGGCAATCCGAGGTCATCTTGGCTCCCTCTTAACAAAATTATATCCATGGAGGAAATTTGACTACGACAGCACGTCATGAATTTACTTCAATGACAAGAAAGTATGCATATTCTGTATTCTCGTTTTCTTTCTGTGTAATCTCCATGACAGGGCCAGCTCCATGTGAAGAGGGCCTGGACCTTGGCATTGTTATCGACCGCTCATTGAGCGTTAGAACAAGAAACCTCGAGCGCCTTCTAAAAGTTTTCTTCCCCAAATTCTTCAAACGCATGGGTATTTCAAAAAGCAAGACCAATATTGGTATAATTAAGTACGACAAAAGTGCAAATGTCTATGCTCCATTCAATGGGCCAAACTCCAGATCTTTAAAGAAAGCGACTGCCTTCGTGAAAAAACTGGACCCAAGTGTCTATTTGCAGACGCGGACAGACAAAGGACTTATTGCAGCATACAAACAGCTGTTCACCAAAAAGGTACATATGTAAAGGAACTTTCAGTTGGACGTGTATAGCAATCTAATAAGATGTCTTTTAGCGAGAGTACTTCCTCTTACTTTAGATGTTGGTCCATTTGGTTTCCATAATTTTCTCTTCTTAACGCTGGTTCAAATTTCAAATAATTTCAATTTTACGAGCTGCTCAGTTTTTCTGGGTAATGGGTCATTCATTTTATGTTTATTACATGGCTTTTTAAGGGAGGTGACAGAAGGAAGAGGCAAAATGTCCTTCTGACGTTCACTGATGGGCGAGCCTGGCCAAGGAGACGTATAAAACCTTTCTCACTAACTGTTCCTCCGCTAAGGGTGAGCAACATGTCTACTATTTGTTTGGTGTGTTCGTTCGTATATTTTGAATTTTCCATCCAAGCCCCTGTATTATTGATTTTTTTTTTGTCGTTTTTGTTTCGTTTGTTGTTGTTTTTTTTTTCACTTTTGATTTTTTAATTCGTTTGTCCGGTTGTCGGTTTGGTGCTAACAGTGTATAGAATTTAAGGACCATTCCTATGAGGGTGTGAAGTTGAATGAATATAATTTCAGTTGCGTTCACATCATCGTATATCATAGAATTAAATAATTTAGAATTTCAAGTCTATTTGATGTCAGCAAGCTATCAAGCTATCATACCTATCGTTCATAACGTGAACTTTGCTTGTCTGTGTAAAGGAAAAGAAAAAATGTCATATGGTTGCAGTCGGTTACGGTGTTCCATCTAGATTGAACATGACTCAACTCCAAGAAATCGCAGGTGACAATGCGATCCTCGTTCCAAGGCCGAGGCAAATCAGAAAAATGGTTGGCAAAATAAAGAAAGCAGTCTGTCGTAAGTAAAGATACCATTACAGAACACTTTTAAGCTTTTTTCGAATGCGTCGTTGAGTTCCGGTTTCGACTTGTTGCTACTTTTGTATCGCTTTACTGTACACAAGGAATGCGTTGCCAATGAACCTCTTGTGAGCCGATTTGTGAGTTGAGTATTGATTAAAGAGGATCCTTATGGAGTAGTACCTACTAGTACTAACGGTTGATGGTTGAAAATAAGCCGTTTTAAAGGGGGAGGTTTGAATTTTACTCCATTTGACGGTTGGGGCGGGTTAATTCTTCAGAATGACAAGTAATCACGAGAAATCAAGCAGGCAAACTAAGTTTTTGCTTTAAATAATAGGAAATTTTGCAATACTCGAGGGGGCTTCATTAAAGGGGGAATAGGTATATAATTTCTTTGTGACACAAACACCACCTCCCCCCCCCAATAAATAATGACCGGTCCCTAAAAACAAGAGAGTTGTAAATTCATGATTACCAATAGAAGAGCTCTTCTCTCATTAGTAGAAGCGCTTGTAGTTTTGTCATGATTGGTCCACTTTCTCTAATCCAGAGGTGGATGGAGGGTACTCAAAGTGGAGTCAGTGGTCACTTTGCAGTGCCACGTGCGGAGTGGGGGTCAAAGTACGAAGCAGGACATGCAGTGCACCTCCACCGAAAAAAAAGGGCAAAGACTGTTCTAGACTGGGAGACAGTGTGGAAGCAGTGGAGTGTAACGAAGGAGAATGTCCAACAGGTAAACAGACGGAACAGACCAATTAAACCCAGCAAACAGAAAAATACAAATAAGAAGTGACAAAAAAGAATAACGAAACAAAAACCATTAAAATATTAATACAAGAGAAAACAAAGTAATACAACTGAAGGGGACAAACATGAAAAGATGAGAAATAGCAAAACGACAACACAAATATTACGAAGGTAAACAAATACTACGAAACAAAAATAAACAAAACAGCAAGGACGAACGGAAGAAGATCAGTAATCTGCAAATGGATCTTGTCCTTGAAGAAGCTCTAAAATTAATCACGTAATTATTTTCAAAACGGAACGCTCGTACAAGTCGTATAAAGGTTCGTATCCTGTTTTTTTATATTTTTTAAAATTCCTTCCAGGCCCAACACCGTGCACCAAAAAGAATCTGGACGTTTGTTTGATTGTGGATGCTTCTTTGAGTGTTGGAATTCAGAATTTTCTCCGTGTGAAATCCTTCCTGGTGCAATTCATTCATCAGTTCGAACCTGAAACTCATTTCAGTATCATTACCTTCAGCGGCAAACCTCAAGTCCGATGCAAGTTCTCCGATTCTACGTGCCAAGGAACAGACAAGACACACGATACAATCGCAGAAATTCCTGACAGAGTCTCATGGGGTACTTACACCGATAAAGCTTTAGTTGCCGCTGACCAGATCGTCTTCACGGCGGAAGGTGGTGATAGGCCGGATGCCTCTAATGTGGTTGTGGTTATAACTGATGGAAAAACAATGAGGGGCTCTCAACCGTTCAACGTCACTGTTCCTCCACTACGGGTAGGAAGTGAATACTGAGATACGTTTGAACTGCACATACTAATCGTTATAATGTCATTACATACAATCGAGCAATTTGCGTGTTAAATGTAATCCGGGTTTCCTTCACTTTGCTCTGTGACTAGTTCAGAAAAGTCGCACCTTTTTCTCAACCAATCAGGTGCAAAATTAAAGCCAATCACGCCAACCAAAAATCAAACTTTCTTTACGACATACTTTTGAGTTCTTAGGTGACAGAGAAGCAGCAAGAATAAATCTCGTAACGTGAAAGCAATAGGTTATCACTCTTCCAGATTTCTGAAAACGCCTACAACAAGTCAAAAAGCTGGATACGCCCCAGTACGATTTAGTTTTAATTGAGAGACAGTTTAAAATATCTTGATTTTAATGTTTAATATCGTACAATAATGCAATTAAATATTCCATTTTAGGACGGAAAAGACGCTAAAGTGTTGGCATTCGGTGTTGGTCCATCCATTCGTGAAGAAGATCTGAACGAGATGGCCGGAGAGAGCAACTGGTTTTATGTCTATGAATTTGCTGATATGAAGTACAGAATCGGCGATATTCTGGGAGTAGCCTGCAACAACTCAGCTACCCTACCGTAACAACTTCAACCCGTTACTAAAGCTTTAGGGTATTGAACTTTTTTAATAAGTATAGTTCATCAAATATTTTCGCACATCCGCAATTGGTCTAAGCGATCCTAAACGGGTCACGGAAATATGCCTCGAGTAGAATTGGCGAATATCTTCCCGATACTTCTTGTCTTTTAAACCTAACCGTTAATTCACGTTTATGATTAACTTCAAGACGAGGTGGGCTTCTGCTTTTGTTGAAGAAGCGATGAACCTGCTTTGCTGATGGGAACATCAAAAGACGATAATTTTATACAATGCTACAGCAGTTTTTTACGTCTAGCTGACTGAAAATGTTTTGTCCCGTGCGAAAGAATTGAAATGTGAAGATTTAAGTGCTGGGTACCCCTGATGTCTGAGACCGCCGCCTTTAGGCAGACTTTGATTACTCCTCCAGCTCAGCTTTGACATTATATCCCTAGGAAACTGTGGGAGCTTATTTGCACGCTAAATGGAGGTAGTTTTTCTTTATCATCATTCTTACGCGCCTTAAATGTAATGTTTATTTACGATTCAATCGGCATCAAAATGTATGCTTACTTTTTCCTTTGCAGAGTTCACATGTATGGCTGGGTGATTAATTTACCAAGATAATTCAGTGGGATAAGGCTGATGACCAAAAATCATCACGAGGAGTTTGGAACTAAAAGGGATTCTATTTTCCATTTAAAAGTTATGGTAAAAGAAGTAGATTTTCACGATGAAGCTTCTGTAGATTGAAATTAAACAAGAGTTGATCCAGCCAGTTTCAGTGTTTTCAAGATATCATACGTTTAAATGTTCGGAATCTAATGACCCAACATCAAACCTCCTAAGCAGTCATCTTTAGTGACATGGCTACTTCACTCTCGCACGGTAAACAGAATGAGATCAAGCAAGTCATGAGATAAAGGCTTCCCTCAAAAGTTCATCTTTTCTAAGACTTATTTCTTAACAATATGAAAGAGTAATTCTAGCCCTAAACCTAAGCAATTTACTATATAGAATCAGGGTAACAGTCGAATTTCCCTTTTTTAAGTCATAGAAACTAGAAAGTTTCAAACTATAGTTTCCTAGATATTCCTCTTTACTTAAAAATGAAATGAAACAATAGGGTGGATCTCTCTCTATAAGATAAGCTTAATTACGCATGCACTTTGATTGGTTCTTACAGTTTTCTTTGACAAAAGTGATTGACAGGTTTCCTCTGTTGAAAGAGAGGGTAAACATATTTTCCTTAGTAAGCTCACTTACCATAAAAAAATAAATATGCTACTTTCAATTTCATGTTACTTTACCCTTGTAAAGTACATGAATTTGCTATGTTAATCAATGCTTGCTTTGCATCAGAGTCTGGAAACAGCTGAAGTGATTGAAGAGCTTTCTCTCCATAATCCAAACTCAGGTCTTTCATCTTTGTTAATGTTTCTCCCTGAGATGCAATAGAGGACAGTTCCTGAAGCAAATGATCCAGCTTCTCTGTGTTCTTTTCTAGTAATATTTGCATGATCAATGTTTTCACTTCAGTTTGTTTACTGGAAATAATTACAGGTGCAGTGTGGAGGATAGTGGTAGATTTTTCTTCATGTAAGGCCTGAAGATCTTTCTTCAACTGATGAGCGAAACCAATGTTTTTGCCAAATTCAAATGCAGTTTCCTGAAGCTGAAATAGAAAGAAATTACTTACTGGATTATTTGAAAAGAATAGAAAAGCACCAAAAAGTCACCTCTAGGCCTTTACCTTGTAGACTCATGTTGGAAATACTTGATTTCAAATAACGTGGTAGGCATTGCCTCCATAGTCTGGCAATTTCAAACAATTTAGCTGATTTCCCTTGTTTTGAATACCCTCAACATGGAAAGCTACATTTCTTGTTTGTGGGAAAGCATTGAACCATGAAACAAGTAAACACAGAAGACCCATAACTATGTGTTCATGTACATCATTTATTTACATAGCACCACACATGACAAGTATTCATAACTCAACATACATTTTGAATTAGGCTGCACTACGTGTAAATGCAAATGTCTAATAATAATGTGAACCTTTCACCATAGTCCAATATTTCTGAAACGTTCACATAGTTTGTGGTTTTGATGGTTCAGAGGGCCTGAGACAAGCCAACAAAACACTTGTATTTGATGTTACCTCCTTAGAATAGCAGTAACATTTTCTCAAATCCCTTAACCCCTTAACTCCCATGAGTGACCAAGACAGAATTTCTCCTTACAATAATCAATACAATATCAAGCAGACAAGTGATGAGAATGAAATGAAATGTCAATTAGGGGATTATTAGTTGATCCAGTACCAAATTCTCTGAACTAACATCATACGAATTGGTTGGTAGACAGTAAGCAGAATTATTAATGAGATCTGGAGGTGAAATGGCTGTAATAGTAAGTGTGAGTTGATAGCAGATGATGACACTATGACTGGTTTGATGCAAAAATTTCAAATACATAAACATGTCAAGTGCCACACTATCACCACAATGACATAAATCAATCCTCACCTCAGCTGAGTGACCAACAATCTTCAAAGCTGCTTTACAGCTGTTTGCCATCAAGCTTCCTTTACATTTGAATGATAACTCACTCCAAAACTCCAAGTTCAAATTATCAGCATTAAATGTGATTTTCAGGAATTCACCTTCCATCAAATGTCCAATTACCTCTGAAATCATTTGAACGACTTCAGTGTCTTTAAGTTCTGCTAATCCTGTACAAGCATTGGCTAAAAGAAAGTCACCACTTAACACTGCCATCTTGTTACCAAATTCCATGTCATCTTGATAAGACTTGCTGGATGAAGAGATACTTGCTAAATCAACAATTCCTGTATGCACCAGGTTGGCTGTCATAAAAGAATATTGTAAGTGACATATTAGTCAAGTTTTTGCAGTTTAAAACAAGTGTAGGTAATGCACTTACCAGGAGCAATTCCTGGCATGGGGTGGGGGGATCATGGAGAGGGAGGTCCAGAATACTCCTGGGCATTTGCATAATGGCGTTCAAAATCTCTTTTCCCAAAAACATAGTTTTTAGACATCCTCTGCTGAGAAAAAGTTTCTTTCCCCTGATAACTACAGAGAAGTGAATAACTACTATGTAAACACAGAATCAGCAGGTATTTGAAAGAAGGGAGAACAAGGACTTAGTTGAATTGTAACTTCCTGTTGAATATTTAAACCCAAAACCACTCCTGAGAGATCTCTAAGATAGAGTACCCAGGTACATATTGTTGGGATAGATAACAATAGATACTTTCCCTAGTTGGTGATATCTTCATGTGTAACATGGCTCCAACCACACAACTATGGAGGGACACACTTAAAAAATTCATAGATGCCACTAGAATTTTTATGACTTGCAAGCAAGCTATCCTAAACAAGCTAGCCAATTGTACTGAACTAAACAATAAATATGAGATAAAGGGGGTAAGTTTCTAAAGAAACTGTGGTGCTGTGTTGGTGGGAGAGTATAACAAGGTAATTTAGTATTATCAACTGAGTTTATAACGTAAATTGGCCACCATAAAGAGTTTCAAAGCTGATGTTTGGGGTTCTGGCCCTTCATCAGGGAAAAATCAATAAATCTGGGACTCAAGATCAAAGGTCTGGGTTGTAGTTATTACTTGAGCTCTATGTTGTGTTGTTGGGTAAGACAGTGACACTATCAGTGACTCACTACACAGAGAGAAACTTGATAAAACACGGAGGGAAACTTGTAATTGGCCTTTCGTCGATTAAAGAGCGGTAGCGGTAATCTTACTAGCTCCATGCCTTTGAGCTGCACTAGTCACTCTTGTGAGCAAACATTACACAGTCATGTTTAATTAAAAATCAAAACAATACCAAAGAGAAACCGCCACAAATCACCTGTGTGTATAGTTTCGGTTATGTCGGCCAGCTGTCTTTGGCTTGAATGAATATCAGCGACCAGTTCCTGATCCATCTTCCATTCGTCTTGCAAACATGACCGAGAGGCCTTAGACATAAGAAGCACTAAAAGTCCTCGAGTTTGCGTCGTCTGGTTGTCGTCCGAAACGAAGCCTCGAGCCGTTCGAAGCATGGGGTGCTTGCTCATGGCGAACCTCTTCATATACATGGCAATGTTAGAGATCTCATCGTTCAACAGGTATCGTAAATTAAGGAATGAGGTCGGATAGCCAACAATTTTCTCGGCATCCGAGAGAGCTCGGGTTAAATCGTCTTGTCTCGAAGACCAAAAGTGTCTCCTGATAGAAAGGTTTGAATTTTGCGACTGCCTTGATAGAGGCGCAATACTACGATACGTGATGAAGCAGTTAGAGTTACAATAGCATCTAACTGAGCGAAAAGCGAAAAGAAATGAGTTTCTCCCTTTTGCGAAGTCGAACACGACTGCCGCCATCTTAAATCTTACGTAACCGCGCCGACTTTAAATTTGTCAGTGGTAGCTATCAAACGCATAAAGATACATCATTTAATTTTACCTTTTCATACTCTCAAATATCGTTAGAAACAAGGGTATTAGAGAAAAAAAGTCATTTCTTCGTCATCATTACTTAACCTTAAGTGACAATTCAGTATAAGCCTTGTAAGTTACTGCATAATCGCAAATAGTGAATTAAAGTATTTTTGACCAAACGCTTAGAGACCAGCTTTGCAGAAGATGAGGCACCTCATGCTTGCCCCAGCTGTAACTTTCCTTAAGTGCAGGTCGCTCTTGCCTTTTCATGACATACACCTTTTTTTACTGTTTACTCATCATAATGGGATGAATTCATTTTGTTTAATCAAGCAGTTTTCAATAAAAAAAAGTTAATTACTAAATACATACAGACGGTAGAATTGAACGTTTTGAATGTTTTCTTACTTCGTACAAACTTTAGCGTCGTTTACATTGATGTTAAAAGGTCACCATGCGGCGACAGAAAGCGCATTTTGGAATCTTTATATCAGATGATGGGCAAGCGTGCATTTTTGTAATAATAATTCAATCAAGTATGAACATATTCTCCTGGTAAAATGTTCGCATTTTTGGTCAGAAAGATTTTGTTTTCTATTTTTCTACAGATCTTAACTGGATTCACTCAGATTTATAAGAACAATGAGCTCAAGAAAAAAAAAAGAAAAACTTTAGTTGCTGGCAAAACGGGATGTGGAGAGGAGGACACTCAACTACTTGACCTTAGAAAGGTATGTGCCTCCAAATAAGATCAGTCAAAGAGCCTAATCGTCGTTCCTTCCCGATTCCAGCGAGAGAAGCAAGATTAGAGCAGTGGTCGATAACATGCTGAGACTATCTTAGTGTGGTGTATAATTTCACTTTTCAGCGTGTCAAAAATTGTGTCTTTCTTAGGGAAAACGTTTTGAAATGGGAGTAACCTTTGCGGTAGATCACGTTTGGTATTAAAATTTGTTTTCAAATCCTATAATAAAGATTTTGTCGAAATACGCCAAATGTGGCATCCTGTGGTTTACACAACGTGTAGTCTTAGTCAGGGAGGCAAAATTTCTCAAACTTCTTATGACTGCTCACCACCGTCCGAGTCAAAAAGTGGTTGTCATTTTTGATAGAAGCGACGCAATCCACAGATCACTGACACGTACTGACAGCTGCTCTGATGTATGTACAGAATAATGCGAACTCCTTAATTATCCGCCTATCGTGACTTGTAATCATGTGTTTACCAATCGGGGCTTAATTTGCTAAGACGCTAATCGCGCGGAATCAATTTCTTACGCATTCATGCAGTAAGGAGTAATTATACAAAAGAGTGCTTGAACAGCGTTTGTCTCTCGGCAGGAGTGAAAATATCGGATTAATGCTTCTGCTTGATTTTGGTCGTTAACAGAGAAAACGTTACAGCCAGGGCATCTGGGTGAGTCGTGCTTCTGATAAAGCGGCCGTAAACATTGGGAAGATTCGAAGAGAGTATCGAAAGTCAAAATGCGGAAAATTCTTATTTATGTAGTCGTTAAACTGAATATCACGTAGATAACAATCAGTAACTTTAGCTCAGGAGTCCACCGACGAAAGAGTGAGCGACATTTATCGCCATAAAGCCATGTTGACACGACAGCTCTCAAATAGTCGGAAGAAAACTGACCCGACGGAACTTGGAAGAAGGAGGTCCGGCGACGGAGGTGAAAAAGACTCGGGATCAATTATGCCTCAGAATGGTTTAAGTTGGTGTGGAAGGGGTTTTGATGAAGAAACAATGGCTAGTACACCAAACAGTGGTCAAAGGTTCTTTGAAAGCGACAGGGCTGTTGAGATGATGACATTTCCACCCATGTCTCGGGTGAGCAAACATGGAGAATCAAATAATCGATTAATTTCCTCTTGTTCGTCTCATCGCAGTAATGCGGTGAAAAATGGGGTAGATGAAAATACAGAACGTCTGTCGCATTTTCCCGCACGCAGAGCAAGTTTCCAAGCTTCCATTCAAGGTTTATCTCTGTTGAAAATGCCCGATCTTGAGATCACTCGTAATAGAAGTTTTTCAGACAGTCAGGCAGAGGATACAACGAGGATGACAGACGAGCAAAGGAGTAAACTAGAACGTTTGAAGCTACAAATATTTGAAGATAACACCAAGAGAAAGTGGGGCCGAAAGTTAAGTGGAAACAAAGCAACTGATAGCACGCACACTGATGTTACCGAGGAAACTAAACTTCCTGTTTTGATCGGGGAGTCAATGGAGCATCACCTGAGATGTCACGAGACACCAATTATGGTTCCGAAACCTTTATCAATGTTTGCTTCTCGCTCAGATTTGGAACCAACCGACGGAGGAACAACATTGCAAAATCAAAATTTCGGTAGGGATGCTGTTTTTAAACTGGCCCGACATGACAGCGCATCCGACAAATTTGACGCTCCGTTGGATATGGACCCATTGACATCTACGTATTATGAAAACCACCAAGTTTCTAAGCAGAACTCTAATGGACATGATTTTGAACTCTCGCCTCCATCGGTCGCTGAAGAAGGTGACTTCGAGTCCATCACTGTTGTTATGGGACGGTTACGAACGCGATCTGAACCTGGCGACTTAGCGTCCCGAAAAGTATCGATGGTGCATCAGCTTCAAACTCGTACCAGGTCGGAAAATAACGAATTAAAAACAAAAGTCCAGTCGTTTGTTAAGAAACCACTGCCAGCTTTACCACCCTCAACACTGCGCGTGAAGAAACAAATTATAAGCGAAGTCACTGGCCATTCAATTTCGGGAACACATGCTAACACTACCTCGTTGCCCCGTGAAAGAAGAGAAGGCACAGTCAATATTCACACCTGTCCCAATTTGAACATGTTTTCTGATCGTTCTTGGATGTACCAGGATGTTTCTCGCAATAGGCATAGATACATTAGAGGGCCAGCCACACCCGTCCCACCCGTGGATTTCGTATTTCGCAAGGACAAATCTTGAACGCCGCAGTTCTTGTTATTATATATCATGCGTGAAGAGGATCTTGTTGTCTTTAGATCATCATGTCAACAATGACATGCTACAAAAGATCCCAAGCGAACAGAGTACTTAAAACTTTAAATCTGAACTAAACTGATTATAGTGGATAAAGGGGTAAATTTCTTAAACTCTGTGGTTCTGCGTCGGTGGGAGAGTATTAAGTTAATAACGTAAATTGGCCACCGTAATAAGTTTAAAAGCTGACGTTTCGAGCGTTAGCCCTTCGTCACGACAACTTTTTAACTCTTTACGGCGGCCAATTAACGTTATCAACTCAGTCGATAATACTAAATTACCCCAATTTATGGTGGGACGACTGTTCAAAGGATATCCTCGAATTTCGGACAGAAACGTTATTACACTAGAGAGAAATGCTAATATTCTTTCAGGCACAGAGGTGATATTGAATCCTCGGGTAACTGAACGTGATTCTGGCGGCAGATGTCACGAAAAACTCGGTGACACTCGGACGTAAGTGATCACGGAATTCCCCCGGGAGATGCCACCACCCTTGGGCAGGGAGTTACAAGACCTTTCTTCGCACTTATATCTTTCACTTCAAGTTTGAAATTTTGCGAACATATTCATCAGGAGCCCTATTATAGCAAACATCCATTTTAAAGAGGTAAAGGTGTTCAGAAGCCAATCCAAAATATTTAACTATTTATTCAGTGAGTAATCAATCTCTAGATTTGGCTCAAATATCTAATGTCTGTTCCGATCGCTACTACAAGATTACCTTGACAAGATTACCTATGCATACACAGAATACCCATGTAAAACGACGATACTGCTTGGGGAAACAACCTCAGGGGGTTGATGAAATACTTCAGAATTCAACTGACCACGACATATAGTTTGCCTACAAGCGAACCATTGCAGATGAAACTGCAGCATTGTCGTAAATAAATTTACGAGAAACATTATTGACAATATGCCTCCGATGAATGGGTTTTTAAATGTGTAATGCCCATAATATCTTGAGACATACTGAACAGGTACCTTTAGGGTCTATGTGTACATTCAAAATTATTGCGATAATACAGAAGAGACTTTAGTATAATTTTCTGGTTAAGAACGCATAACTTTAGGGGTGCTCAGCAATTGTAGGGGTGCGCTACAATTCAAACAATTCTCTCCTACAAAAATGATGAAAAAATAAATGCTTCATTCAATGAATAAAATGGACGTTTAGATTTATTTGTTCCAAGAAGCTAAAAAGTTTAGAACATCTTCATTGTTATAACAGCTTACACACTTAGCATAAAAGTTCTTTTTCGCCGCTTCTCTCAGTTCAAACAAAAACCCATATTTGGACACGTTATGTCGGGTTCCACTGATTTCTGCCTTCTCATTGGTCCAAATCACACTAAATCGAGGTTGACCTTTCACGTGATAGGCCTTAGCGTAAGATAACATCAATCCCTCCTTTGTCTGTTTGTGAAATTCAAACTGGTAATAATCTGGTTTCAAGTCAAATTCTGCAATGCATTCGCCATTCGCGACCTTTTCGTATAGAACTGAGACATGCAACCGGCCTTTGTATTCGGTCAAGCACTGTACAGTGAGGTTAAAACCACTTTTAAACATCACAGGCATATTTTTTCGATGCTGAGCCACGGTGAGATCCAAATCTAACGTCCACGACACTCCATTACCATCATTCGAAGTTAACAGCAGAGCGTAAAGTAGGTCGTTGTTATCAACGTAAGTTTCGATATGGACGGGCCGTAGACCAACAAGATTGTTCAGTCTTTCTCGGCAAGCATCCTTTGTAAGTCCAATATAAATAGATATGGCTGAATTTAAATAAACGTTCTGGAAAAAAATCATATTGAAGTATAAAGCATTCGCAAATCTATAGGCGTTTAGCCATGTTAAATCAAATCCCCGACTCTTTACATCTTCGTACAATGGCCAGAAATCGTGTTTTGGCACCATTATTTTAATCAGTTGTCGTTTATCTTCCGTTGTGATACTGCTTGGAAATACACCGCTAAAACTTGGCTGCACTGATACACATAAAGTGCAACTCAAAGCGTACTTTACCAGTCCATCAAGATCGAGATCTTTAGCCCAAGAATTGAACAACAGTGCCCAAGCGTAACCCTCGCAGTGTCGTGTCAAAACACCTGAGGTACCCTCCATCTGTCCACTGTGACCCCAAGTGCTTCCATTGTCCCGGATGTCGAGACCAAATCCGTACCATTCCTCTGTATCCTTCTCAAATGACGGCTTATCGAGCATTTTTTGGAAAGTTTCGTGTGAGATGATTCTTTTTCCATTAACACCCGATTCTAAGGAGAGGAGAAACTTTAACAGCTCAGAAGCAGTGGCGATCCAACCCCCGTGGGCGTCCGCTTCTTCCATGGTCCACCTTCCGTACTGTGGCGGTACTTTACAGCCGTCAGGAAATATCGACCTCACCATCCTGGGGTGACGATTGTGAAAATATTCCACCTGGGAAAACATGTGGAGAAAGGATTAAGTCAATATCTAGCAAAATGGTGAATCTAAATTTTCCCAATCCGTCCATTAAAAGCTACCCACCCATTAAGGTAAAACTACTGAGTATAGAACCATTTCAGTGAATCACAACAGTGCCAAACTATCATGCAGGGCTGTCAATGGGAGCCGGTAGCCGGCCAAAACCCCGAGCTAGTCTGACGGTGATTTTCACCTCATCCTTCACCGAAGAAAAAATCTACAAATTACTGAAACATCAACAATGAAATTTGTGCGGCAGTCATTTCTTTGTTTTGAGCGGAATTGAAAGTACAATTTACCATCAAGAGGCTTACATGTGAGAATCAATCCCACGCTCAAAGGACACGCCTGACACTTTTGAGACTGAATAGTTCCTAGTTTTGCGTGTATCTGAGGAAATAAAAAAGCGGTAATGATGACTAAGCACCCGAATTTTTTTATTTGCCGTCTACTTTTAAGCTCAATGACGGCCCTAATTTCGTTAACCCTCGTTCTTCACGGACTTCCAACAGTGGTCCTCTAGTCTTTAAGGCCGCTAACTAATTTGTAGTCCTGAATGGAAGCACCGCGGGAGCACAGTGTCCGGTGTAAGAGAGCAAATCAATGACCCAGCCTGGACTAGACCACGCAAAATTCTAACTGTGGGGGGTGGATGTGGGGAAGGTCGGGAATAATTTTATGAAAGTGGAAGGAATAAGATAAATCTACCTCCTCATCACTGAGTTCATTCTTGCAAGTTCTACCAATTTTCATTTGCTTTATTTCCACGGCCTCCAAAAGAGTCGTCATAAATTCTTCATATCCTTGACCAGTCACTCTCTCAATGACTTGGCCCAAAACTGTATAACCAAGATTGGAATAGGCATGTCTTCTCCCTTCCAAGAAAAAAAATCAATTTAAAAACAAAATACAACAGAACAAAATAACATGCACAAATAGACAATCAAACAATGAAACAGGAATTAAGTTCAACACAATCACCTGTGTGTGACTGCAAAATGCTACACACTCAGATAACTATCTGTGATAAAAAGGATGAAGGAGTAAGGCAGCTTATCATACATGTGGGTAATATAGCTACACCATAGATCATAGTTTTTCCTGCAGAATTCTGAATTAATTTGATCACAATTATTCATACCACTGATATTTCAGCATCTACAGCATTTTAAATTAATTAGGCATATACTTTGTAATGTCCAGTCACTTCATGAAAAGATCCAGTTCAGTGACTTTTCACTTGACTGTGTAAGAAGAAGAAGCCCTCTCTTGTCAAAGAAAGAGGAATAAAATGATTCTGATGTGTGTTATCAGGGGTGTTATTAGATATTGCTATTAAGCACAAAATAACCCCATAACCATTCAATTCAGTATTAATAACTCCCAAATAATACAGATGAGTAAGGTGGGAAAGTTTTGAGATGGAAGAGAGAGTAAAGTTCTACACTACTTCTTCTCCCTCATGCAGATGGCAGAGATACTATGAGATGTGAACTATTTAAAATGGACTGAGTTTTAAATAATATACAATAACATGACACCAGTGTTTAAGCCACACCAATTTTCCAAACATTTCTATATCAAATCAGGGGTATGGCATCTAGAAAATGTGCCACAAATTTGCATAAATTGACACTATCCATCAAAAATGTATAAAATATACAAGAAAATAAATTGATCTTTGCTTTTCCAAGTGTAGTGGCTCCTTAAAGAAACATTTTTGTTGATATACATAACCTCATCTTTCTTGCTACTGAGTGGCAGTAAACCTTCTTGGCCTTCCTTAAGCAGCTAAATACTACTTGGTAATAAATCTTTATTTTCATGAGATAAAGAATTTAAGGCAACTTTCTTAAGACTCCTGATGTATTTTTTCATCTACTCCTTTTGATTTCTTTTCAAAAACTTTTAGTCCAAAGTTTGAGTTGTGAAACTCAGGGTGTGGCTTATCTAAAAGTGTGGCTTATACACCAGTGTTTATGGTAATTCCTCTACTACTCCATTGCGATTGTACTCACCTGGGGCAAACTGAAGTTTTCTTCCCATCATGTACTGTATTAGTACACAAGGTGCCACAGGTTCAGCAACATTCATATGTTTTCCAACTTTCCAGAACACAGGGTCCCCAGCCCTGTCTCTGTCCCACCCAGCTGAATGATGAAGCAAGTGTTTCAGTGTGATGTCTAAGAGTCGAATATCACCAATTTCTGTGGGATTGTACTCCTTTAAAATTCCTTGAAAATAAATATAATCATAAAATATGTAAATAAGAATGTATTGCTTATTTAGGAAAAATAAAGATGGATTTAAGATTTTATAGATTAAACAGTGATAGCACTAGCCATGATGTCTTAAACAATCATTACTGAATTCAAGATTGTTTGCTGCATACTTGAAATTATTCAACATAAAAGCGTCAAACTAAAATACTGATAACACTCCAGAATGTAAATGGAGATCAAACTCTACTTTAAACTGATTCACAGTTTTCCTCAAACCAACAAAAAGGAGATTACCCTTTGGACCAAACACTTTATCCTCCAGAGACAATTTCCCTTCTTCAACAAGTCTCATAACACCAACAGCAGTAATTGTTTTGCTGATACTAGCAATTCTGAACATTAACTCTGGTTGCACTTTCCTTCCTGCACCTGCACAGCCATAGCCTAATAATGAAAAAGTCAAAAGAGGCCTGAATACTGAATTCAAGATTGTTTGCTGCATACTTGAAATTATTCAACATAAAATTTTGCAAAGAATCTTTAATATTCATTTTATCTCAGATGAGAGACAAGCAACAATTTTCACTCCAATTCTGAAGGGCAAGCTGGATTTCAATTTCAAAGCTTTTTTTTCCTACAAGTATATTGATTTAATTCCCATTTGTAGAATACAAAAATTGTTTGAAAAGGTTAACATGTCTCTTTCCAGTTTGTATTTACCTTGACAGTATATCAGTTCTTCACCTCTACTTATCGCCACACTAGCCCCAGGAATATCTTGTTCTTTCATGAAATCCAGGATAATTCCATCAAATGCTTGCATTTGCTCTGATATCAATCCATTGGCTCTTGGGGATTCTAAGAAATCAAAAGTCAAAGTCTGTACAGTAATGGAGTGACTTGTCATTTCAGGGTGTATCCTGGTTACAGTGGCAATGAATGACAGGGTGTATTGGCTACTCCTCCTAATCCTTTTACCCCTAGGAATGACCAGCATATAATTTCTCCTTACAATATCACTCTGAATCACACTTTAAAGTCATGAGAATAAAAGAAATGATCTCCAGCTGATGAAGCTCATGATTGTTAAACAAATTCTCCTAGTCAGCACCTCAGGAAATGTATAAAGTAAAGTATGAAGAATATGCATACTGGATGTTAGGGTGTAAAGGGTTACCACTCCTGCAAGGATGAAGCCATGAATTTAGGGATCAGGAAATCATATGAGGGTTTACCTCCTAATATTGAGGTCTGGGATCAATTGCTTTATTTTTCTTTAATTTCTTTAGTCCTTTATGCTCTTTCATTTGTTTTGTTTTTGGGGGTTTTAATCACGTTTGTTTTTTGTTCTTCTGTTTTATACCAATTAATTTGTAGCTGTTGTCATCATTCTTGTCTTTTTGGTTTCTTTTTTATTATTATTCTCCAGTAATTAACATGTAATGACTCTGAATATTTTATTTTCTGCATTCTGTTCTTCACTCTCACAAGTATAGTTATAGTCTGCAAAGTGTGACAGGTGCACACATGACCCTGTTTTTTGATCACACTCATTGCAGCTGCTAGATTCAATGCAAAAGGTGGCATTGTCTGGTAACCATGCACACATGAGGTCTAGATCCAGACAGTCAATCGTTTGAGTAATACACCGCAAACATGGCTTAAAATCGCTCTGGAAGCAAGCAAGATCTTGATAAGTTTTGTAATACTCTACAGGTTGCGTAAATCCAGCTGTCAATAAGAGCTGGCTAATATTCCAGGGCGTACATACCACACGAAATCCAGTAGTTATGATCACTGAGGAAGCTAACTTGGCGAGGCTCTGCTTGAAAATCCATCTATACAAACGAAACATTGCAAAAATCATTTTGTGTGGGGAATGATTTCACAAGGTGACTAATGGCAAAGCCGCGATCTCGACACGATTTGTTTGATTCCGGACTCTAACAGCTCTACAGCTGATTCATTTGTGGTTGGTTCGACAGTTTGTTCTGTTTAGTATGTTAACGTACAAGTTACTTGCTATTCGATAGATCACACAGTCGTCTCTTGAAAGAAAACAATAACCAACACTATAAGTCCCTTCTGGGACTAATGCTTTGTTTTACAAATAAATCGTACGACTAGCTGTTTGCTTTAATTTCTTTGTAAAAAGTTGCCTTTGTTAGGATAATGATACTGTTTGAAATCACCTTTACATATAGCTACCGTTATTAAACTTAAATAATTCTGTCTAAACTTACCAGTGGGTGTGATGGGATTAATTTTTAAGCCTTGTAAGACAACTTGGCTTTTCACATCATCCCGCCGCCATTTTGGCGATCTCTTTTTCTCGTCCCCAGAGCCACACGTTTTGACTAATCGTGATCAGGGACTCGGGGAACGGGAATGTTCTTTCAAAGTTTGCACATGCACAGTCGTTTGATCGATGTTTCAGACTGTAGCTGAGACAAGAGCAACGGAGCTCGCGAGGTTTGAGCTGGCGAGTTAAGAGAAAATGCTAGAGGTCTGCAAATGGTCTGGCGTAAGAGGAAAGAAAGATTGAAGGATAGACGTAGCTACGCTTCGTGTGACATTCGTATGTTCTTCGTTCAGCCAAGCTTTTGAACTTACAAATTAGACTTTCGCTGTCAAAACCTTTGAGTCCCCCTGATCAACGGTAAGAAACGCAAAATAATGGCTTAAAGACTTTAGTGCGGTCTGAGACTCTATTAATGAGGATTAATAACAACACACAATTCATCATCGTAAGAATTTATTTATAACAACATAATCACGCGATTTTTCAAGTCCTCTGATTCTGGGGCACTTCTGGGGGAGCTGCATATGAACAGCTAAAGGTAGAAAAAGTACACTAACTTATATTATCCCACATTTTGGTTATATAACGTTTGTATCACGAATTTAGGGGTCTTCTACCGTTGATGAACGTGCTTGAAACTCAGCATGCTCTACGGGAAACAAGCACATCACTCTTTGCCTTTTTGGGCAGTTAGTTTTCTGACGAATCAATAGTATTTCACTTCACAATATAGCATGTTAGTAGATAAAGTTCCAACAAGGAGTTGGCTCTTATAGACAAGAGCAGATGTGGAAGCAGACAATTCCTTTCCGTCATTCCTGTACACCCCACGAACCTTGTGATAAGGAAAAGCGATCCCAGATGCAGATGATTTCCCTAACTGTACCTCGAGAACCTGAGAGGCACTAGGGTGGCTGATGTTTTTTGAGTACGCCACGATGTCAAGAATTTTCGGTATTGTTGCCAACCAAAGGTTCCCGGTAACAGGATCGACATTAATGTTGTCAACATATGCTCCAACTTTAATCACCTGCATACAGAAAATATACAATAAAAATTTTCAAATATACTGGTGATAATAGTTCGCAGCTGGTATGACGCTGCGGTTCGTCTCGACTTAGAGACTCTTTAGATCACTTTCGGAATTTTCAAGCAAGCTCGTTGAGTATCGTGCTCAAAGTCCCGTACGCATCGTTAATGATGCTAGCAATCTGACCCCAAATCACGTTCACAAGTTTCATTAATTTTGCACAATAAAAATAACAAAATGATGGAATAAAAGACCATAGCAATTGACCTTTCAGCTTCTCGAAGTGACTTATACTTAAGTAGATAGCTCATATTCTCCAACAGACAGGAAAATAGTGACAAGAATAAATGGGCCTGTGCCATTTTAATTAAAAATTAGAGTCATAGGAGAAAACCACACAACACAGACCAGAAAAACTACACTGGTTTTATTTCATGAAATCTCTCCTCAACCAGGGAGAACCGATCACTACAACCAGCTTTGCTACATTAAATTCTTTTGATTTATTTACAGCGAAATGTATAGCAGCAAGAAGGGAGAATCATGCATAAAATCTTAGGTGTTAGTGGATTCACAAACACGTTCTGCGAATGATAAAACGGAGACGTGACCTTGTAAACTACGTCATGCCAATGATCTCAATGGTCAGAACACTGTTAATGATGCTTCTTAAGCTTGGTTAAAAGTAAGCAATTTTCTCCCTGTAAAAACTAAGCCAAATTTAAATAACGGAAATACTCTAAATCATAATTTTTTTTTCGTTTAAGCGACCCACCTGAGAAGCCTCCAAGGTGTTGTCACGACGACGTCTGTAAACTGCCACACCGTTATCATGGGTTGCAGACGCAAAGACAAAACTAAAAGGATTACAGTTTAGCTTAAGTAGAATATCAAACGTATCTTTTGCAAAGGTTGCTGTTTAACAAATTGAGGGAAAACATACAAAAATAAAGAGGTAAAGAAGAAGCAGTATAACATACTATTCCGTTCCCCTCAGGTCCACACGGACTTAAACATGTTTTACGAGGAATATTAATAATTCGATCACCTACTTTTTGTATATTCACAAGTTTATTTGTCTATTCATTCACCTGTTTATTATTTGTCAAATCCTAACAAAGGGTGTGCGTTTTTATAAGGATTGGCGTTCTGATCTAGTATCTTTGAGGCACGCATTCGAATCCCGTCGAAGCCTGGATTTTTTTCTGGCTCCCTTTCAACAGTTTATCCATCACTGATTCATTTAATTTTTGCAGTTCACTTGCGTGGATCTTTTCCTCACTAGTATATCATCCGCAAGTCAAAATGCCATTCAATTTTTTAAATCTTAGTTTGGACAATTTGTTGGTATTGGATCAACTAATAAACTAATAATCCCCTATTTGAAAGTTTTTCTTTATTCTCATCACTTATTGTATATAGAAATTGTAGGGAGAAATTTGTCTTGGCCGCTCATGGGAGTTAAAGGCTAAATGTAATCAGTTCGCATCAAAACTGAACGCTTACCTTTGGTCTTTATCCATGGCTAAGCCATTAGGATGGACTCCACTTATCGCTTCGATGGCCTTAAATCCGTCGAAATACACAATATTTGAGGCAAAGAAGTTGTTTAAAATATACATATATAGCAATTGCTGTACTGTCCCATATCGAAACAAATTGTCGTTTGTCACGTAAAAGGCATCTGGACCTGAAAAAATAACATACAGAGAAGCAATGATGGCACTATCTCTAAAAAAACCGTTGAGAGGTCCACTTAAAATTGCGTGTACAGTTTAGTTTAAGTAATGCACGGACAGCCAAGCTCGATATGCAGTTCTAAAAACAATCCTTACATTCCTCTATGCATCATATTTAGCTTATACAAGAAACTCTCTCTCTATCCTAGGGAGGGTAGAGTCCTAAATGGGTAAATTCAGTATCTGGATCCAGGATTCAACAACCTCAAACAACCACCCATCAAAAGTGCTTTCGTCACAAGTCTCTTCAAGATTCATTTAGAGTTCATAAGTAACACAAGATTAAAACAATGGTGCTAAATCAAGCCTAATTAGCGGTTTGGCACTAGTATTTCTTTTTTACCCGCGGGAAAGTATAATCCCTCAAGCAACGTGAGTTAGTGAGAGGCCTGCCATGGTTTAGCAGATTTAGTGGTACCTGAACCCCGGCAAACCTCTCCTCGTCTCGTCTAAAATCTTCCTGCGGAGGGAGAAACGCGCGTCTTGCAGCGCGAATAAGAAGGGCTTGTGCGCACGAGAGAGAGCCGCGCGCAAGAACTATTTTCACGCTCATACATGCCGGCCCATATCACTAGCTTGATTAACACATCTGTATTTCTCCATGAATATCAGTCTGGGAACAATGTATTTTTCATGCATATTCGCATAGCATAGGCTGAGCCTAAAAATCCGGGTTGCAATTTTTTTGCCGTACTTTACTCGTGGTCTGTCTTATCTCCTAATCAATTAGATGCACGACTGAAGTTGATCGCCCATTTGTGTTTCCTCGCGCTTAAGTTAGTATGCTCGTTATATTAAAATTTGTATATTCAATAGGTCTTTGTAGAACTTTTTTTTTTTTCTCTCCGAAAGATCGCATGGCTACTTATTTCACATACCTACTGCATGTAAGTTATTTGGACTCCAGATCAGTTCATTCACCACAGAGCGCCGATGAATCAGTGAGCGAGTTTCCCGTTCGAAGTCAAATATTTCAATGGCTTGGGCATCCGGTCGGTGGTTTATGACAAACAGGGAAACCGCGCCAGAAGATGGATCCTGATACGCGCTGATCCCGTGCGGGTTAAACCCCGAACGATTAAAATTCTTCAGCGTCAATTCTACTGGATTTTTATTGGCTTTGTTGAAGTCAAACGTCAAAATTTTGCCCTCACGCGTGTCAAGCACTGGGTCATACGAGATGCTGAGCCTGTAACGAAGTCCCTATTAAATAAATATGAAACAAATTCACCAAGTTTAAGTCAAATATCTTCAGAAATCAAACGTCAAATTTTTATTCTCGCCCGCGTGTCAAGGCTAGGTCTAGCCTGTTCCAAGCGTTCAGTTAGTGAAACGAAGCGCGATACCAGCGGCTGAGGAGAAAAAACGAGGGAGGTCTGATTTAGACCTCCCAACGACTCGACCCAATCCTCCCTCCTATGAACGCTCCGCCGCTGCTAAAGCATCATTTACTGTCGCGCTCGGTTCTAACTTAAACCTGAACACCTAGAACAGACTTGACTGGGTCTGACGAGAAGGCGAACGTTGTATCGAGGGGTACTGGGCTGCATTTTACCCCCTTCCCCCTCTCCCTCTGGCTTAAAAATTAAGACATCTTTATTACAAAAATATTGTTTACGCTCTGCAAATAGGCCAACAAATTTTTTTCATACAACTGAACCTCTATAAAATGGAATGAAAATTAAGCTAAGACAGCTCGAAGGAATGATGACCAACTCCTAAACAGAGATGTCTAAATTTACAACAGCAGAAACTTACAGAAGACACGAACACTAGTCCATCGTTAAGGAGGGCGAGATCCTCTGAGCCATTCACTGAAAATCACCAAAGGCAAAAAAAAAATTTTCTCATGAAGACACAGACAGGAGAATTGCTTCAGCGGCAACATCAGAGGGACGTTTATAAGGAGGGGGACATTAGCATTTATAAAATAACTGGGATTCTACGGGCACGAAGAGACACGTGATTAAGGCGTGAATTTCACCGGAGAGGCGAGCGTTATACGCGAAGTTATGAACCAGAGTGAAGCGTTTTTTGCATCCTGAAGTATACGTGACCCGTGAATTTTTTCCTTTCGCGAAAACCTCAAGAAATCATCGAAACCTCGCATACAAGAAGAAAACTGCTTAATTAAAGTACACGTGATGCATGAATTTTTCTAAAATTCGTGCGTGAAGCGGGATCAGGACCCCATGTTTGCCACCCTCTCTCGTTCGAACTGTGTAGTGCATGCTCTTACTTCTATGAAAAGATCGATTACAGTTTCTAAGAGTGTTTATGTTGTGTTCTGGGGGACATACACGCCGATGGACTAAGTTGTTGATATTGCCTTACACAGTTGTCACGGAACTGACCTGTTTACCAGATCAAATGGAAATGAGATTACCCGTCAGTAGCCCGATTGATTCGTCGAGAGAACGAAATAGCAATTAAATTAAAGTGTGAAACTTGTCAACCCGGGCTGTTCAAGTGAAAATGTGCTACACAGACAGAATCTATGCTCGAGCGCGCGGACGCCTCGTGACCAAAGCCATCACCTAATGCAGCATAATTTTTAAATACTGATTCAAACATTTCATGCAGCTTCATGGAGGTGTTTTTCCAAAGCAGCCTCATTAGACTTACCTTCTATTACTCTGCAAGGTCCGGGAGAGTGATTCACAATATGAGTGAAATGTCCTATGAATATTCTGAAGAATGAAAAGGAGTGCGTGATATTTCCTTCGTCTCATTAAACAGCAACTCGACAAGTATTCACGGTTCAATTTAGAAAGGAAAATAACATTTCACTCACAGCGTTTTGACAACATGAGCAACAAATAAAGTGACCATGAAAAACACCACAAATTCACCCAGTCGACCCATGATTCGAACACAACTATTCGTTCAGTGTCTGGTTCGCCTCGAGCTCCAATGGTAATTGCTCTTAGAGTTCACACTTAAATTACCGTAATGTTGCGTGACACCTTTCTTTGTTGATGAATTTCTCGTTTCCAGCTCCAAACGCAGGTGATGGCGATAGCTATGAGAACCTGGGATCAGGGGTGCAACCTCGAAAAAAGAAGGCGTGATCCTAGGTTAAAGCTATCAAGTAATTTGTCGGTTATGATTTATGTGTGTATCGATACTGCTGATTTTATGTCTGTGTTGGAAGTTTTCGGCTTTTCATTCAGGCTGTCTGTCTGATTGATTGGTGGACGGAAGGGACGAGGGTGGTAAAGGGGGGGAAGGGGGTTTCAATCCTACATCACGCTGAATTTTCCTATCAAATCACGCATCACGGATAATTTTTTAACCAATCATGCGTCACGTAAAAGGATTAATTACGCTAAGCTAATACTGTAAGATTTCAACCGATCGGATGTATTATTAAAAATTATATTGCATCCAACGTTTTTTTTATTCCGGAATGAATTGCGTTTCACTTGTCATATTTCTTTTTGTTGAACAAATAAAGACGACTTACTTGTGGAAACTAGACGCTGAGAGAGCGTTTACTCAGGCCTCGTATCACAATATCAAATCACACTTTACAAGTATAGAACACATTAAAAACAAACCAGAGAATCAGAATTTTAACACAAGAGTGAAGCTTAGGTATTTACCATTCAAGTTGCTTCGTTGAGTATCCTCTTCATCCAATAGCTTGTTGTTTGCCTCACCTTCGAAGTTCTGTTCACGAAGATTTTTTTTTTCAATTCAGCATCTGAGGTGTTCGTCTGGGCATCATAGTCGTCATAGTTTGTTGTTTAATAAGTCAGTAGTCATAGATTTGACGATGTTTTCGTAGATTGAACTCATATATGGCCCATTAGTTATCTCTCTAGAACAAGTATGATTGCTAAATTGGCTATCTTTCAATTTTGCGGCCACTCGTGGCTCCAAGATTGAGCAGACGTCTACGCCACCTTTACTCTTCTTTTATACACAGGCAATATTTATGTCAATGTTTTGACCAATCCCCTTCTGAACGGCAACTGTCTGTATGTCAGTAAAGGTTACAACGTGGCTTTTGAATTCGTTTAGGTCAAAAAAATTTCCCAGTGTTTTAACTCATTGCTTACATTACCATCCTCTAGGGCAGCATAAAATGACACCAAAACTCGAACGTCTTTTACCGTTTCAGTCGTTTGGGTCGACATTCTTAGAGATCTTTCATTCGATGGAGTCGGATACTTTCTGGTCTTTCTGGATACGATCTGACCCACCACCACGACCAGGCGGTTGACAAAAATAACACTGAAGGTCATAGTCCTCTTGCAAATGTTAACTATATTAACTTATGCCTATTGTGTTACGATTGACCAGAAAACAGTGTCACGGCTGCCACGGTTTATTGATCTTTATTAAGACTCTATTTGCTTTGAATGATTGGATTCCTTCTAGGTCAAAGAGCGTTCATTATCACGGAATCCAATTGGTAAGTGTTGTAAATTACGCGTCACGCGCTTGTAATACAGAAAATCGCGCATCACGTTGTCATGTCCGGTCCTTCGTCACGCGGATAATTCGGGTTCATTCATGCGTCACCCTGCAAATTTTGGGGCCATCACGCGTCATGCAAAAACCCCTGCCACCCTCAAGGACGGACACACCGATTGACACTTGGTTCCTCCATTTTCTGACTTAATTTTTCGTATCAGCAACTTCGAACGATCGTGTCTTTAATCTTTGGATCCTTATGATGGAGCATGTAAAACTCGCCTCGCGAGTTCCTCCGCTTGACAGAAAAAACAGCAAAATATCACGCTTATTCTAAAAAAGTGATGCCGATGTCGATGCAGTCTGACGAACAGATCTTGTGCCTCAATGCACCTTGAAATCCCATAAGTGTCACATATTTATCAGGATCGAGCAGCCAAGATTTTTAATTAATAGTTAACCAGATCAAATAAGGACCTGTCCGTATTGTAACTTTTAACACTTAATGATGCAGTCTGACGAACAGATCTTGTGCCTTAATGCACCTTGAAATCCCATAAGTGTCACATATTTATCAGGATCGAGCAGCCAAGATTTTTAATTAATAGTTAACCAGATCAAATAAGGACCTGTCCGTATTGTAACTTTTAACACTTAATGAGAAAAAATATACACTGGAATTTCAGTTTAACTCTTAATAACTTAATATTTTCTTTCATTTATACATATATCTGACTCTTAGTCTTATTATCTATTTTTATTTTAATACGTGCAATTGTTTATTTTCATTCAGATGAGAAGACACCTGATAGAAATGCTGAATAAAGCAATTATTATCGTTATTACTACGACATTATTACTATTATGGTTGTACTTACCGTTAGCATCCCACTTCCTTCGCATTTTGCGCGTTAAACATAGACCAAAATGGGAAAAAGTTTTCATGAGACTATGGTCTTACCGGAGCTGAGGAATGAAGGTCGTATTTTCTTGAAAGAATGCAACGCGGCCCGAGGTTATCTATTGGAACGAGTTAAGCAAGTGGAATACATGTGATTCTGGTGCCACACGCTTAAGAAATAAATGAACCCGTGGAAAGCAGAGGTCAAAGGGATTACTTGTTCCTTTTGAGCCTAAGTTGAAGCACACAACCATGGACGGGTTTGTGGTTCGGTTTCGATATTCAATATGAAATTTCCGATGATCACCCCTGCCACTTTCGTATGAATTTTCCAGAAAAATAATTCTTCTACTTTTAGCAGCGATGACAAATACAGTGTTCGCTTCAGCGAAACTGAAGTTGACGCTTACACGTTAATTTTACGTTGGCATTTGAAGAGATCGCTATAAAGATGCAAAGCATAATAGTGATGTAAATTAGATGAGAAACGCAAAACGCAAGTAATACCCAAAAGAAGCCTCGTCTTAAATATAGCATTTTTCGTTGGTCTCATGTAATCAAGGAAGTAAGTTACTATGGAAAAAAAACAACTTTAATCTATGTAATATCAAGTTTCCATGCTAGGCTTTTTCTTCAGTCTACAAGGATAAATCTTTAAGTCTGTATCTAATTTACTTTCTTTTTCTATGGAAATAGAGCCGGGAGGCAATTTTTTTAAGTGCGTCAGTCTGGCAACTTTCCGCATTCTCTGCTAACCTCTTCAGATCTGACTGCTCAAAAAAACGTTCGCTCAGGCGTAAATTAACCATGGAAGAAACGTCCCAAAGAGAAAATGAGCTTGCAATATCTTTGGAGGACAGATATATTGGCCTTGTTGTCTTTGAATCCACACTCTGGGTTTTCCTCGTTGGATCAGCAGTTTTGGGTAACGCTTTAGTTTGTTTATCCTTGTACAAGATCAGAGGATTTCGCGCGCCTCAAAACTATTACATAGCGTGCCTCGCCGCTGCAGACTTGCTGTTCGCCGTCTTGTGTATGACGTTATCCCTTGGAGTACTAATAGAAGGCCAGTGGATTTTTGGTAATGCCTTCTGCCAGGCTCAGGGCACTCTTACATTTGTCTTCGCTCTCGTTTCTCTATTCACAATGGCTCTTATCGCCATCAATCGGTTTTTCAAGATAACGAAGTCTGTAGCTATTTATCGGAGAATTTATAGCAAGAGGAACATTTTGCTCTCAATTCTTGCGGCTTGGATCGTCGCAATCGCTTTGGCGACGGCCGTGTTTTCATTCGGAACCAAAGCATTTCGCTTTCATCCTGGAAAAAACCTCTGCTTTGTAAACATGAATCACCATAAGGGCATCCCAATATACACACTTGTGGCCTACGGTGCAGTTTGCTTTTTAGTATTTCCTTTGATGTTATTCTGCTATTTTAAAGCTTACTGGAGAGTTCGGGCACATTTTGCCGAAATTTTGAACTCGAGTCTTGCTCGAGAGGCTTCGGGATCTTTCGCAGACGAGGCGAGGATTACTCGGATGTTGTTCGTTACCCTGATTGCGTTCCTTGTTTGTTGGACACCAGTCATCTGCACGGATGTTTATGAAGCACTGAGCGGCCCGCGTTCGCTTCCACGACAAGTGTACTTTTGGCAAGTGGTGCTGCTAGCGAGTAACAGTGCTGTCAATCCAATCATTTATGGACTTATGCGACGGGAGCTCAGAATGGCGTATAAAGACATATTGACTTGTAAAGCTTAAAATCAGTGAGGTCGTCTACTTCCTCCTGTTTACATATAAACCATTGACCTTTCACTCCCATGACTGACTAAAAAGGAAACTTCTCCATACAAACCAATACATTTTTTAAAAACAAACAGTAAATTCTCACATCCTTCAAGCTGATATTATAAGTAAGGCAGACACAAGGGGAAATGATATTGAAATCTAAGAGGGGGGGAGGGGAGCCAGAATACTAATAATCGTTAAATGTTAAATAATTCCCGCTGTAGTGTTGCCAAACTTTAATGATTACTGTATAATTTTATGTTAAAAAGAAAAAGCCGTAGAGCTTATACATCAAATAGTTTGTGGTTGTTTGATTGGTAAGGCGTTGCCAAATGTCATGCCAAGAGATTAGAGGAATACAAATGTTTTCCTGTTTTATAAGAGAATCATTATTTCAATACTGATCCGATATCATTGGGGTCGCCTTACATATATTTCATTTCCAGCTTTTTGTGTCAGAAAGAGGTTATTATCAGGGCATCACGAAACTGCAACTATTGCTTTTAGAGGCCAAGTTAGGATTAACTGAGCGTAGTTTTTTTTATTTTTATTTTTTATTTCAATGTAACCTGTTTAATGATCAATTTAGTGATAGAATATATAGAGAGAAACAACAATGTTGTGAATATGCCAAGTAACCAAAATAGCCTGCGGCAAAATAACACCTAGCTGTCAACATCTCAGTGATGTCGCGGGATAAGAGCTTTTAATTAATAATGTAAATAAGGAAAAAATTACGCGCGTTTGATTGGCTGAAAACGAGTGCAAAGTTGTAACAGGAGAGAAACGCAATGACGAGAAAATTATACTGATTCGAATCTTAAAACTCGCCAACTGGTTAGGCCAGTTCTTCTTGCTTTTGTTTGACAACTGCAGCCTTGTTTAGTGTCGAAGGCTCTCTAAGTATCAACCCTCAGCCCGAACAGATAAAACATGAATCACGAGGAGATATCATCTTGCACTGTGGAAACCGCAGATGGAGGAAAATGTATCAGCTGTAAACGTCAACAAGTAGATAGTGCGCGCAGTTGGTTTGTGTGCACTCTTGGTCTGATATCAAGTATTTTGATTCTTGGATTCGTGTTTAGCTTTGGGGTATTGAATCCTGTCTTTTTAGAGGAGTTTCGACGGGGAAAAGCTCGCACAGGTAAGCCGCCATAATTAATTAGAAAGAAATAGAGTTACATCTGTGTCATAAAAGGTCGTTATTTTCCTCTTTTTTCAGTTATTTAAACATTTTTAACTTTTGTTTGGGGTCGAATGGAGGGGGCAGGATTTTTCCAAGGACGTTCTTGAATGTTGGTTTTGGAAATATAAAGAACTTCCAACCCAGCATCTGAGTATATCTGCAAATATGCTGAAACATGTCTCGAGGCAAAACAACTTGGCAACTGACGACAGGGTCAAGTAAGAACGCCATTTGCATCGTTGCGAGATCGCGTGATGAAACAAGACTGAAAAGTCTTAAAAACACAAAGTTGCAGCTCAAGTAGTCGTCGGGTTTGTAAAAAATATGAAAACTTCTTCCAAGGAGCGTCAGTTCAGCGTCTCGCGTAACTTTTTCTTATTTTAATTTCCGCCGACCGAAAGATTTGTTTTTGCTGCTCTGAATTTTGGCTTTGACGCTTGACCCGACGTACAGTCGTGCTTTACCTGTTTGGTTTAACCCAATTGCAAATTGTCAGTTATAATCAGTTCGTTTCTTGTGAAGTTCGACGTTTAGCCTGGGCTTTAATTCATTTGGCAACAGATACAGCCCAATATCGCTTCCTGTTCACATGGTAACATTTTTTAGCCATGTCCTTAAAAAGAGAACTTCGACAAATCTTACAGCCTCTGACAATTGCATCGCCGAATCCTCCGGGAATGCTTAATAGATCGCTTCTTCTCTCGACCTTGGCATGCCAAATACACGAATTTGCATGGTATTTTGTAAACGGACACAGGACGGTACGTAGAACGGGTGGTAATTTATCCTGTGGTAAATTCGAGACACGCAAGACACCGAGACTAGAATCCCATTCACACCAAAGCTTAATTTGAAGTTGCTTTGTTAAACACACTTTAATTTTTTTTTCCTAGTAGAAACAACTTAACCTACTATTTTACTACTTAAAACTAGACCCTGTGAGTAGAGTAACTGGGATACCTGGATGGTACTGGATCCTTGAGATCAAGTGTAGTGGCACTACGGGTGTCGGACTAGTATACTGAAATAGTGAGCTCATATCTGGCCAGGGAGATACAGCTATTTCAAAAAAGGTTGTCATCTACTACTTGTGGATGCACTTCTTGAAAATAGACATGACCTCTAGATTCCAATTTTCTTTTCAGTTTCAACAGTATTATTCCAGATCTTTCATGGGGACATGGTAATATATTGCATGTTTGATCACATTCAACAGGTATATTACAGATTGCACCTTTACTCTTTCTTTGTCGACCTTTGGGCACAACTATTGATTTTTCAAACACTATTCTCTGTGGTGTATCTGTTCAAGCTTCTCTAGAATGGACGACTCTGGTGGCAGTTTATCAACATGTAATTTGTTACATACAGCTTGACATGGGATTTGCCCTTTCAAAACTTTTGTGTGACAGGTTTTACAAATGTACTGATTTTCATGAAATGACTTAAAGTCAGTAAATAGTTCTTGCTGAGTATTGTACATTTGTTTTTTTTTACTGGATAACAGTTTTTCTGTATAGTATTCTATTACAAACAGAGCTAATTTATTATAGACCTTCCCTAAGACTCATTATTTCATCATTAGCGTAAGTCTAAAGTATTAAGAAATTTCGGCAACAACCTTCTCTATGGTTACTAACATTTGTAACATTTTTGTCTCCTTTTTTACTTCGCAGCATGGGTGGGATCCCTGTGCATGGCGTGTGCGTCGTTCTTTGGACCTTTGGCGGCAAAACTGTGTGATCGGCTTGGCTGCCAGGCCGTCAGCATATGCGGCGCTTTGATATGCATCGCTAGCCTTTCGGCCAGCTCTCTAGTGCCCTACATGTGGATGTTATACTTAACCTACAGCTGTTTGTATGGATTTGGCGCTAGCTGTGTTCACACTGCTCTGTTTCTAGTGGTGTCTGCGTCTTTTGATAAGGGACGATCTTTAGCCACAGGGACTCTTGTGGCGGGTCATGCTGCAGGCATCATGATCGTGTCTCCTGTTTTACAGATTTTACTTGATAATTTCAGTTGGCGAACTTCATTTCTCATATGGGCCGGTTTGACTTCCCCCGTTTGTGTATTTGGTTTCTTTTTCCATAGCAACTTGAAGAAAGGCCCCGGTTATCGAAGAGGGTCAACAAACGATCAGGATGAGAGTTATTCGCAAAAATTTTCAATCTGGAGACATCCGCCGTTTGTAGTTTATACAGTGTCAACTACCATTTTGTATCTTGGACTTCATATTCCACAAGTTCATATGGTGAGCCTAGAACATGAAATTACCACACCCCTTTTTCTGTCTAGAATAGTAGCATGCCCCTCCTCCCCCTCTCCAGTTGTATAACTGGCGGTTTTTCGGGCGTCGTAGCCCTTCGTTGCCGCGATGAAAGGCACAGAAATCACAGAAGCGAGAAGCGGCACGTAAAACGCCAAACACATATTTACCAGTAGCACCATCTATTTTCTGCTTTCAACATGTTGACTTCAGCGCTTACATGTAGGCACTGTGGTCTTAGGACATTACAATTTAACTCCCATCAGAGTTAATTGATGGTCAGTCTTTAATATTCTGACTCCAATTCACTCCCTACACTGTACGCTTGTGGGTCATTAGTTTTTGTTAATTTTGTGGATGCACCCGACGCCTCTTCTAAGAGTTAATTTAGACACATTGAGCTCTTTGGTTAGCACAACGGACGAAAGGCAGTCACAGCTTTTCTTTTGCCATGATCATTTTCCATTTCCGACTGCAACTCTGCCTTTTTTTTCAAACCTTTTAAGTGGTCGATTGTTCTCGAAATGACCCGGGAAACGCGACTAGTCCATAATTCTTGACCACCTTGGATTCAAACTAAGTTTAGAGGATTTTTGTTTGGAATAAGGACCATACCGTTCAAAGTAATAATAGATTTGTCTTTCTCTTTAAAAGGCAAGCTTCTGCAGAGATCTTGGTATCCAAAATAAACAATCTTCGATGTTGTATCTCGGGTTTGGACTTGCTTCAGTGATAGCCAGATTGGTTGTTGGAAAACTATGTGACAAGAGATTTCACGCACAGCACATCTTTCAGGTTAGAGTAATCTGCGCCCAGGATCTCAGCGTCGTGGCACAAATAATAAAGCTTGCAAGATTCGAGCCGGCAAGCGAGACAAGCGTTTGAGAGGTCTGCCAGAACCTCGCGGACACCTCGCGCGTCCACATCACAAGCCTGCACGAAACACGCACGCCTCGGCGCTTATATCGTAAGCCTGTCGATTAAAAACCCGCTTAAGGGCTAAGGCTAGGGTAACTGTTACAACATTTACTACGCGCTGATGATTGACAATTGAATTAGCCTCGACCAACTGTAGTCTCTCCTTTAATAAATCAAGCTGGGGGGGAAGATAGAAAAGGCGTCTATGGGGTGGGGAGTGGGGAGCAGAGAAATACCAGACGAAGTCAAGCCTTCCTCCTTATATCTTGAACACACATTCTTCGAGTCCTCCATGCAATCAAATTAATCTTCTTTTTTATCTAAGAGTTTGATTGGCTGAATAATCTCTTGTTTCACTGTTGCAATGGATTACTGTTTCGTAAGAAGCTTAGCAAAACGTGCAATTTATGGACTGTTTCAAAGTAATCGTTATATTTAGCCTGTAAGTATTCCATCAGTCTACTGAAAATAAACAACTCCTTTCCTTTGCATTTGAATTAATCGAAGGAAACATTCAATTTGTCCCAAATTACTCTAATTGCCAAATTGAGCTTATTTCGCCCCAATGCTGTGATTAATCTCACTGTTTTAACCGATCTGAGCGCGTGTGAGATGAAAGCCCTGAGAAATGACCCGCAAAAACTATCAAATTGATAGGTAACAGCATGTATCATAATACAGACCTTGCAGTACAATTAAAAATGATTTCTTTTCTTTTCCCTTCGCATACTAGGTAGCAGGATTTGTGATGGGTGGCGCCACACTGCTGTGCCCCGTTAGCTCCAGGAGTTATGCTCTCCTCATGGTCTATTTCGTGACCTTTGGTTTCGCAGAGGGGTCATCGGCCACGCCCATCAATTATCTTATTTTAAACTGTGTACCTGTCACTCATCGTTCCAAGTCCTTTGGTTTCTGGTTATTTTTCTTATCTTTGACTATGGCTGTTGGACCTCCGTTTGCAGGTATTAAACTACAGGCAGACAACCCTGTGATTGTAACGACATGTGAAAACTATGAGAGAATTGTGGTGCGGTTACGAATAAAGGCACTGAAAATAAAAAGATTTTCAACGTGTGTTGAAACCTCAAATAAGGGAAAAGAAATGTCATTGTACCAAAGATTAACCGTTTTCTACCTCTCCATGCTATTTAAAATGCCATTTTACAGAAACAGTCCCGATCGTTTCACTAAAGATTTTCAGACCACAATGGATTGAAAGTGTTACTATTCGGTGCTCGTGACCGCCAGACAACCTTTTATGCTTCTGTATAGTATGTTTTACCACTCAACACACCCACAGAATGGTCCGCCTGAGATCAAACAGCAAAAATTCAGTTTTTAAGCTAAGCTTCTCCCTTTATTTCCTAAGTCCTTTCTTCTCTTTTATACCAAGTTTTGTTTTTTTTTTCATTTTTTCACTGAGCTGAGCATGGCGAGGGGGGCAGGTCACTTTGTTCTCTAATGAATTCTTGTAGTTGAAGTAAAGATGTTTGAGTCTGTAATATCTAAGAACTTAACAAGTGTTCGTAACCTGCAATCACTGTTAACAGTTTATATTTATGTTGTTTCATTTGGTCCTTTTAGGTTTCATTGCAGACGAGTTAGGATCGTACATACCTGCCTTCTACATGTCTGGCTCGCTCATAATGAGCAGCGTGGTCGTAGTATTTATCCTACGTTATTTCAAAAAACGAGATGATCTGCCGAAGAATGATGGCCAGACGCAAATGAAGGTCTCGCCTGAGGAAAGTGAGACCGTGCTGTAACCCTCCTTTGCGAGGAAATTGTACGGGTTTTGTTCTTTGTGCACATCGTTCTGGCTCCTCTCGTTCGCTAAGGCCTCGCGCGGGGTATATTTTCCATTGCACACATCATTTCCTGCTGCGTTGGAGTATGTATGACATAATCACAAAATCCGTTAGCCTGTTTCAGAATCTCGGTTTGTGGAAAAGAGTAAAACAGCAAGCGGGCGACCCTGGTAGCGTGGTTCACAAAGAAAAACAGCATCTTTTCTTTCCGACATCCCTACCACCCGTTCCCAGTCGCCTCCAAAATGTGAAATGTGTGCAGAGCTTAAGTAGGAGAGTTACGACAGACGGAAAGGAGGAAACAACATCGTCTTCTCCTCTCGCCTACTCCCTACCTAAGAAAACGTAAATTAACCACCGTAAAGGGTAAAAAAGCTGACGTTTCGAGCGTTAGCCCTTCGTCGGAGCGAATCGCTCTGACGAAGGGCTAACGCTCGAAACGTCAGCTTTTTTACCCTTTACGGTGGCTAATTTACGTTTTCAACCCAGTTGTTAACACTAAATTACCTGCTATACTCTCCCACCGACGCAGCACCACAGTTTCTTTAGAAACGTACCCCTTTATTCTCCCTACCTATCACATTTCGCACTCCCACTCTGCCGGTGTTGCTTTCCTCTACTTTGAAAACCACCGAGAACAAGCCAGCGCTCCCTCGCTTTTTCATATGACTCCCCCTGACCGAGAGCCACCGTGGGAGAGGTTGAAATTTTTTAAAATAAGGCTTTAGTCGAGGAAGCTCCGCTAAATGCTACACCGATAAATAAAAACTTCTTAACAGACTGGAATACGGCATTGTTTTTATTGTTCATGTCATGCAGTGTCACTTACGTATCTAACGCACTTAACATTTCATTATTAAACAATTGGTACCAACTTACAGCAAAGTCTCAACTATTTATAATATACTGACTAAATAGGATACGTTGAAATGATATTGGTTTAATGTCACATTTTTTAAAAGTTCACACTTGCACACGTTAATTGAACGATATTTTCTATCGAGAAAAAGCTTCCGAACAAATCATGGAAAGAAACGATCACCTTCACTCTAGGAAAATTAAGAAGATCCGCGTCAAGCCACTAAAATTTGATTGTAATATCCAATATCCATCAAAGTGGTCAACGATACTGCGTGTTTAGCTTTGCCTTTTTGACCTTTTAAGTTGCAGTTTTTCTCTTTTCAATGAAATTTAATCACATGAGCACCACTAACGACATAAATCATATTAGTGGCTACATCACTGTTTCAAGGATTTGTTCCAAATTATACGCTTCTCATTTGCAATCAGTTTCAATCTTCTCCATTCTTGACTGTTCCTGTTCGTTCTTATTTATTATTTCCAATTTGGTGTTTTCTATCGAACCAAACCAATATTTTGTGGTTTCTTTCAATGTAAAAACTAATTTTTCCGTCAAAACAAACGACTCAAAATTAAGAGGCCAACCTCCTTTACATCACCCCAAGGAAAAAGATCCGGATCGAGTTTCCAATTTCAAGAACACTTTAACGCCTCAAAAGGACTAATTTCTGGCCGAGTTCTTTTGAAAGTACCTTGAAAATCACGATACCTTGGATAGACTGATGAACGACCACTTAATCCTAGATAAGGAAGCATCTTTATGCTGAATTCGAAGCAAAGCAGCTTATTTATTATTTATTTTTATGGAGGATCTTTACTAACTTATTGTAATTATAATGTCCATGTATAGGCATACAGGACGGACCATACAGCCTTCACGTGCACCGCCACAACCAATCGTCCCAAAATTGCAAACTTTCTTGCAACTATAGGAGTAGTGATTTCGTCAAGCGAGTTGGACCAAGGTTACCTATACATGGGCTGGATACCACGCGCTCGGATGATAGATGGGCGTGCCTTACTTAACGCGTTGAACAAGAGTTTTACTGTGTTGCTACTTTCGCGCATTGACCTTCAAAGGTGTTTGACCATCAAAGAGGGTGACTGTCACGAGATCAGTCAGAGAGGGCGGTGGGTGTGGCCATATTCTCGAACACCTACAAGAGCCTTACACCTAACAGTGATTGAGTAAAGTGGATCACATTTACAAATGCAAAACAAAGTGATAAAAGACCAGCTTATTACTAGCACCGGGCTCAGCCTGGTGCTTTCAACGTCAAAACATAATGCAGGTGAGAATGTGACCCACATCACAAGGATAATGTCCATGTTAATGCACAACAAAGTGCATTTGTTTTGGAGGCAAAAGGCAGTGAAAAGGCTGTAAAGTCCATACGAGTTTGACTAGGAATGAAGACATCAAAAACAGGTGTCACAAAGGTAACATTGGCTAAAAAGGAGAATCGAAGATAACTTCTAAACACTCACATAATCAACCCCTACAGTTCGCTCAGTGGAAATGTTACCAAACCAGTTATAAGTTTGCGCATGTGCCTTATTATGATTTTGCTTGAAATCGCATTTAAAGGTCAAATTATACAAAACATTCTAAATTCGTTACGAAACTAATTACCCCCTGACCAAAAACAAAAACTTTGCGAAACGAGATTATCTTTGTGCCAAAGCTTTACTAACACCGACCCCTTGAACTTCTGCAATTACAGCGATAAAATTCATTGACACGCTGGCCTATCAGTCCCCTAAATTGCGTAAAACCCTTCTTACATAGAGCATTATCTTCCTTCTGTCGAAAGCCTTTCCTGGAGTGTCGCGCAAAAGCGTCCAAGAAAAATTGCGTGGCCGCAGGAAACGCGTGACGACAAAATTGCGCAACAGTGCCAAAGGAAAGATTGACTTCAAAACGAAGTGAGAATGATTAGTTGCCGGCTTGTTCCCAGGTCTCTCGATATTGCTTGGTTGGGCAGGGTGTCCCTGGGAACAACATGAAAGTCCAGAATTAAGCTACAAAACTGTCCTTTAGAAAATAGCTCCGTTTGAGATTATCTCTCCAGATTTACAATGTATATTCGCAAGAAGTAATCATTACAGACCACTTTGATCATCCAACATCTTGTGAAGGCTTAGAGTTTAGAATCTGACCTATAAAGAAAAAAGTTTTACAATGCTATATCAAGAAAGATGAAAAGCATTCTAAAATAAATGGCAGTCTATGACTGTATGTGCTTACTGTTGTATAGTTGTAATATATTGCAGTAAAAAAACAATGTGGTGCAAAATTCAGAGGGGTTGATGAACAGCTCTTATCACTGCCAAAATCAAGACAAAGGAGGACTTGGTTAGAACAGAGTTTGTACCCTTTTATTTTTGTTGACATGTTGTCAAGGCCAGAAAGGCTAACTTCACGAACGTTTAAGAAGAGTTATTAGGCTTGCCATTAATGAAAGAAGTCTATAGCTTGACTGAAGATCCCATCCCCTCATCTATTCATTATTTGCAGTTTATGTAGGTCTAGTGAGTTCAATCAAGGACAAACCAGTGCTTCAATTTACCTGACTGCCAGGGACAGGTCCAAATGGGTCGCCAGGCTGTGCAGGTCTCTGAGGTTGGAACGGTTGAGATGGAAACATGGAGCCCTGTTGTGGAGGGAACATTACTGGCTGACCGGGTGGCTTCACATGTTAAAACAAAAAAAGCAGACAGTGCCATAAGACCCCACAACAGCTACATGTAAACAAAAATTCATCCTTGCTTACACTCTAACCATCTAAAAGGTAATTTGTCCAATTGATAGCCATACATTTCTTTGTTTTCTGGAGCAAGGAATATGTTGTTAAACATACATTAGTAACATCCTCCAAAAAAAATTAATTTCATGCCCTGCTTAATGGGAACATCTAAATCTATTTACGAAACAATGGCAAAAATAACATTAATGATACTAATAACAATAAAGAATCTATGAGAAACAAGATTTCTTTAGAAAGCAAAGAGCCAAAACAATGGGAAGGAATGAGAGAGAATGAAAAAATGAAAAATCTGCATGAGGGGTATCAACATTTCCTTTCTTTCAATTTTAGTAACTTATCAATACTGTACATACCATGAAAGGCTGTGCCATTGGTTGCGGCTGTGCAAAGGCTGATCTGAATCCAGTTGGCTGCTGCATTGATGGCATATTTGAAGCTGGTAAAGTTGTTTTTGCTGTAATGGGAGCTTGCCAGTTTGGTCCACCAGTTTTACTCTGTGGTGCTGGAGCTGTCCATTGATGCTGTGTTCTACCAGCGGTACCCATAATGTTTCCATTGGTTAAGGAAAATGCATCTATAATTCATAAGAAAAAAAGTCACTAACAGGTATCACATATTCAACAAAAAGATTTAATGAATTTTAATCAAGTACTCATGTTTGAAAAAGTTTGCATGTACATGTAACATATCTGATTTCTTTACTAGCCTGCATGCAGGCCATCATCATCAGCACTTCAGCTACCACAAGAAAGTATATGTCCTTGAGCAAAACAAATCGCTTGATAATTATTAGTGCCAGATCCCTGGCAAACAATGCCCCAACTCATTTAAAATCTTCCTGAGGGTGAGAAACATGTGCCTCTTGCCTGCAATTTTGTGGCACTGTGAATAGTTACCACCTTGCAAAATGTCACACTTTCAATGTTTGAAAAACTATCAATGTAACTAAATTTCACTGACCACAACTAATGAAGGTCAATGGTGGTTAATTTTAATCACTGAGAGTTCATTCTGAAAATCCTTTTCAAATTGAGGGTGCTAATTCCTTGCTGTTTCAAATTAGAATTCTTTTGATTTAAGTTACTTGGGAATAGCTTCCTATTAAAATTAACCCATCTGTACCTTGAAAGCAAGGCTTGGGGTTGAAATTGTATTCCAATGTACACATGTATAATAATTATAATTTATTCAATTGGCACTCTCCAAATAACCTCAGCTGATCAACAGATTTATATTGCATACATTGTATATTCTCACCTAAAGACAAGGCAACTCTCTGCAGGCTGGAATGAAGGTCAGTTCCTGACTGCTCCCTGCTCATACCACTCTCCACCTGTGCTGGTGGAAGTCCTCCACCAGGAACTGTTGGGAGCAAGATGTCTCCCAGACCTTCATGACCTTGAACAGTGCTTTGTTTAGCACCAAAAACTGCTGCAAACTCATCCTGACCTTGGCTGTCAAATGGGTTTGTACTGCCACTGCTGCTGCTGAAACCTGTTAACGTGCACAGTAACAAAAATTGTGATGTGTTCAAACAAGTATGGGAGAGTTGTCACACTTCCTCCAGAACACTATCCTCTTCTATAATATGGTTTCAGGACTACAGTACTATGAACAGACTAGGATGATTTGCTGAGTGCTGATGAATAGGGCTGAAAATGTTAGTGCAAATTTGTGAATACCACAAATTGCTGTCACAGCTAGTTTGCCACACTCTCTGATAAAATATGGCAGGACAGAGATCTGAAACCAGTAGGATTGCATCACTTTGCTACTCTTCTCCCTAAAATTTTTCGACAGTGGTAGTTGTTACATTTTTTGCAAATTAGATCAGACCCACCAAAATTGAATTTCACAGCCGAAGCTGTGACTGTCCCCACAAATATGTCTGAGATTTTAGGACAATAGCAAACTCCCCAGAATTTGAAATTAATACATGTATGCGGTGTTGGGTCTAATTCTTGTTTGAGTTTTACATCCTCATTTCAAGTCAAGTAGCTTTTCGGCTACTACACCTGGCTAATATCATTCTGCTGAAGGCAGTGTTGCTCAAAGGGACTTACCACTGGAAGGAGCTTGGACTTGGGCTTGAGCACCCCAGGGTCCAGCCTGAGGAGCACCAAAACCATTTGATGCTGAACCTGGTCCAAAACCTTGTGCAGCTGGAAAGCCTTGGCTTGGAGGGAAGGGATGACTTGGTGAAAAAGCTGCAGAACTTGGCAGTGAAGGAGCAGCAGCAAATGCAGCATTGAGTTGTAGAAGGTCATTGCTAGGAGATACTTGTGGGGCCACAGCAGGCTGGGCTGGTTCACCTAACAACTCCCACTGCTTGGGTTGGCCTGGTGGCTGAGTGGCCGCTTGTACTGGAGGTACTTGAATCTGTGTTCCAGAATCTTTTGCTTTCTATTTTTTAATAATAATAATAATAATAATAATAATAATAATAATAATAATAATAAAAACTATTTCCAGGGTTTCTTCTAGGGTGTTTTTGCAGGATTTCTGCAACTTGGAAAGAAATGCTGCATGAAATCTACATCAGGAGGTCAAATATGGCGCAAAAAGTTGTGCCCAAGGATTTTCAATTATTAATAGTTAATAAAGATGATACTAATGATCATGACACCCTTGAATGTCAAGCAGCATCTCAAAAAAAAACATGCCCACCTTAAAAGCTTCAAGATTTTTCTCCTCCTCTTCAAGAAGATCACCTTTCGGGCCAGCATCGGTAGCATCATCTCCTTCAAACCTAGTTGTAAACTTGCCAGCACTAAAAGCATCTGTTGCTGACGGTGGAAGGGTAATGCTTGGTATTGTCAATGGCCTGCAATCCAATACAGGGACTTTCCATCAACAACAAAAAAGACAACTTTACATGGTGCACCAGACAAATGTGTATCCTTAGCTCTGACAAAGGGCTAACCCTTGAAATGCCAACTTCAGAAACTCTTTACAATGGCCAATTCACATAATAACCTCAGTTGAAGAAACAAAATTATCAGACAGATACGTTGTACATTAGACAAAAAAAAAGCAGACACTATAGGACAGAGTAACAATCAAGTCAAGTGAATCATGATAGACTTATTTATGTATATAGTACCACTTACTTTGTTGTAGGTGGGTTAGTTGTCTTTCCTTTCTCTAACGATTGCAAGTGGTTTTCAAGGGCATCCAAAAGGCTGTTAGGTGCCTAAAGGAAAAAAAAATTACCATGAGCAATTTTGATGGCAAAGCTTAAAGTTGAACATTGTTTACGGTGACTGGCAAAAGGGGAAAAAACCTTTATCCACTACAGTTATCAACTGAGAGATAATCATTTCAATTCCATGCTAAGAAAGGATCACAGTATTAAAAATAATACATGTTCTTATAAGAGGTTTAAGACCACTTCATCCCTCTCTGCAAAAAGACAACCACAATGGCTTCAAAGAAAAGATAATTTTGAGCTTTTCTGATAGACTACCTTACTAAGATCAGGGATATCATCCTTGTCAAAACCAACATCTTCTGCAACTTTCAAAAACTCAGACACTCTGTCCATGCGAGTTATAAATTTCTTATAGATGTCAAGTGCCTCCTTGCAAGATTTCTTGTTCATGTCAAAGTACTTCTCTGCAAAAAAATAATAATAATAAATCTAAAATTATAAAAAAGCCTATTTTGTTGAAAGCTTTCTTCAGACTCTTTTATGAAGCAGTAATTGATGGAGGTCCCACAAGGAAATTGTACATTGTTGTGTAATATTTCTGAAAGTATGTGAATAAAGGTGAATCTGAAAAAGGGAGGGTGTATTTGATAGGCACAGGAATGGCCACTAAGAATTCAAAATGTAAAAAACAATCCATTCAACATTTTCATTAACTACCAGTACAATTCATTATTAATATCCATTTACAAATCTAGAAAGCAAGTAATTTTTCTCTAAAAGAAAACAGTGAGTAATTTCTCAAAGCTCCAACAGTGATCAATTTTGATGAAGAGCTAGTTCTCATTAGATCTATGCCTCCATTGCACTGTAGAGGGTGGTGGTAGAGATGGTGGGGGGGGGGGGGTGGTGGCATGAGGGGGAAACTTTAAAGCAAAGGGGATACAGGAGAAAATAGAAGGAAATGTTAGGAGAGGGTTTTGAAAGGCAAAAAGAGGAATTATAGGAGCACTTTTCCACTCTTGCAACACTTATCTGCCTACATAATACAGATACAAATAGGAGGATTTAAGAACATTATCAAATATAAACTTCAACATAGCCACTTACCGAGCAAATTTATAATTCCATCATTGTAGCAGGCAAATAACCTGATTAAGTCCTAATGACAAAAGAAAACAAACTTCAAGGTTATGATAATCTTTGACGAGCCATCCTTAAAAAAAAAAAATTAATTTAAGAGATTTCACACTATCTACCCCTTCAGATTACTCAGTTTTTGCATTAAGTATACACATGACATTTTACAAATTTTACTGCTTTTTAACACATTTGCTAAACGTGTAAAAGCATATTTAAACATATTTACTAAAGACATTTCAATCAAAAAGGCCAATCAGGACCATAAAAAAAAAAGAAAATCTGGCTAGTTATCTAAGGAAATTTGATTTTACTTGGTGCTTTTGAGCTACATGTATCACCATATAATCAAAAATTTTTTTTTTTTACCTTAAACAGAAGTACAAAAACACTGTTTATCACACCATTTGTCAATTCACTTGATTTAATCTGAAAAAGAAAAATTACAAATAAGTAAGGCTATGATTTGCATGACCTAATTTAGTATGTCCAAAAGTTGTAAGGTTAATATAGAAATGGGCTACCTATCGGATAAATTGTTAAATAAGGTATACCATAACATCACTGATCCAAACTGCAAGTATTTCGGTTGCCATGTGTAATCACTAGATTTGCTGAAGAAGTCACCAAATTGGTGACCCTCGTTCCCAGTAAAAGTTAAGTTTTGTAGATGTAAAAATAAATGTAGCGCATGCTTTATTCAATATCATCAACACTAAGACTGGGCTTGGCTAAAGCTCGAGCCTTACCCGATATAAAAATTTTTGCATGTCTGTGAGCTGTCTGCATGTCTAAAGAAGAGCTGCATTCCAAGTGCTTTGTCCTTCACTATTGTTTTGCATGCAATAATTAAATAGTTTTCAAATACTTTTCTCAATACTGCAGTTCCAGATCCAGTTCTCCAAGTGTCTTGTTTCTCCATTCTCAATAATTTTGAGTAAAGGATCAAGGATCGAGTTGAAACAAATTACTTTTGAGCAGTACTGTACAACACTCACTGTTAATGGTTTAAAATTACAGTAAGAAAGACATTTGTGCACCATAAAAGCATGTCATAAGGTGAAAATGATTGGTTCCACCTACACTGCACAATGTATATAAATTTGTATGTGTAACCCCTAATACTAAATTTGTGTTGATTGCTTGAGGATTTAGGTTGCTATTTGGCAACAATAGAAAGAGTTAAGTCTGGAGCCCTGAAAAAACATATGGTTTAATGAATTACTGGTAAAAAAAATAACAGAGGATAGTTGGATACAAAAAAAGTTAAACATACATCCACTTCAAGAAGAGCATCAATTTGCTGCTGCAGTACTGGGAGGGCTTTGAGAAGCTGTTGATGAAAAAGGAGGCAAAGGAAGACAATTAAAAACATAGGGATGCTTCCCTTGGAAGAATAATTTCTTTGGATGGGTGGGTTGAAATGAGACACTAAAAGTAATTAAAAAATGTTGCCTATATTTGGATTTCAAGCTATCCTTTTTCCTATTGTCATTGTTTTAATCAAATAATTCAAGATAATCTCTGTCTAGCCAACAAAATGGCTTTTCACCAGATCAAGTCTTGGTTTGGTCACTTGGCCAAACAAAAACAAAGTTTGCATCATAAATACATTGTAGTATCGTTAAAAAACTTAAGACACCTACTTTGGGAGCATCCATTGTTCTTAAAACACCCTCTTCTTTTCTGTAAGAAAAATGAATTGTTTTGAAAGTCAAATGTATTTAATCTAACTTGCATAAAAATATGTTCTAATGCAATCTTTTCTTACCCTCTTTTGATTCGGCAAAAGTCATATCCCATTTCTGTGTAGGAAGTAGCTTTCTCATTTAAGTATTTTCCATATCTCCTTACAAATGTTGACATGTCATATCCTTTACAAAAATATCAAATGATGCAATTGAGTTTATATAAATAAACCATAGAATAAAATGGAAAGAACAAAGCCTAGGACACTTAAACACCTAGCATGCCTTCAATTTTTATGATGTACTATATCTACTACACTGTAGTTTCCCCATAGCTGAAAAAAGCCATACAGATGATGCCAAATATCTTAAGTTTAAAGGTGGAACACAGTCTGGGTATATCACTGATAAAAGAGATTAGAAATTGAAAATAAATCTAGCAATACAACTTGAAGTAAAACAATGATATCACTCACCCTGAACACCACTTTTGTCAAGAAAGTTACCAAGACTGAAGTTTGACGTTCTTGAAGCCATGTATTGGATGAATCTCTGTGAAAAAGATGAGCAGAGTATGAATGGACATGCATCATGCAAAATAAATGATGAATATCTATTAGTCATGTGATTAGTAATGACTTCTATTGTTTACAATTTGTCTAGTATTTTTCAAATAAAGTGACAGCACCAGAAAATAACCCTTATAAAGATCAATAACATCTTGAAATGTTTCTCTTTAGAAAAAAAAAACTAAACTCACTACTACATTTTTAAATACAGAAATATTCTACTGCACATGTTCATTGATGCACTATAACAACACTTTCAACCGTTTTTATCAAAGTTCCACGACACCTTCTCAGGTGGAAATGAAAAGATTCAGATGAAAGGCGAGAAACATACGCCATAAATATGTAAATTACATCCTTGTGTTGACATGGAATACGATATGGGCAAAGAGGAATTTTTGTTCAGCAATGAAACAGAAATGCTTCAAAAAGAATATCAATGGAAACAAGAATTGAGTAAGTAATCGATATGACAGAAATCCCACAAATAAGATTTATCTCTTGATCGACACAGGAGATAAATGATGAGCTATCTGGATAATTAAGGTGCCAGATAAACATAATTCGCACCGGTTGAAAGCTCGAAACCTACATAAATGAATGACATCGAAACTTTACATCACTTACGAAAGAAACAAGCGATGAAAAAAACCACACCGTAAAAATGTCTCCCATTTGACCGAAGCATAATATTCAAACGAAGCTAACTGAAAATAACATGAATATAAAGTTCCGAAATTAACGAACACTTTCCCATCGCAACTTTTATTTTCACACTTGGTTCGGCAAACCCCCAAACTTATTTTAGGGGCGTGATTGAGCTAATATAACTAAAAGAAAAAAACAGTTCTTTATTCTTCTCATCAATAATTGAGAGTGCTTCGGCAGTGATAGTATTCCTGACAACGTTCGGTTTAATTTTTAAGGAATTTTCCTGAAGTTGCAACTTCCAACGAGTTTTAACTTTCGTGGGTTTTCTCGTGGGACATTTCATAGACCTATAAAAACAAGATAACTTTATTGCTTTTACAATGAGCCCCATATTTTAGGGGTTACCATAAACAAGCTTACTTGAAATTATTTTTCCCGCTAATATGACACAAAACACGGTTATATAATTCCCAACAAGATAAACGCCAAATTTGGCAGAAAATTGTGATCGATGTTACCTTGCTACGAAGAAAACAGACAGAGAACTGAGTAATTTAACAACATCTTTCAAAAGGCGAAACTTCGATCGAAGACATAAAATATGATAGTTATTTGGCAAAAGTAGAACTGAAGTTTTTTTTTGCGAGACACCAATGTCTGATTATAGGTGACATCGGATACTGGTACAAACGCTAACTTGTGTGTACGAACTTTCGTAGCGTTTGCATGTGTCTAACCGATTACCGATGCCTCATTCTGTTAACACTGAGGGATATCTTTACCAGAGAAATTCTTAGAGAGATGCATGATCCATAACTTACCTCATTCCCATAAGACATCAAGTGATGGAAAGTGCATTCGGCTTTGAAAACTACTACCCAACTGGAATTCGTGCATCTTTCAAATATTAAATCCGCCAGGTTTGGAATCGAGACATTGTCATTCTGTGTGCAGGAGGTTAGATCTGAAGAGCAAAATATATCAATAAAAGATTCATCAACTACCGTCAACTCTGAACTAGTAAAATATCAGAGACATTTAGTCAAAGAGTAAACTTACAATCCAAGTGCTTCCTTTTCGGTCCCATAACTTCGCGGCTCGACGCTTTGCAAACGATTTTGGCTATATAAGAGCCAGTTATCGAGTGTTTAGCAGCGTCCAATCTATCAACTACCGACATAATTGCAAAGGAGAGGCAAAAAACCCTTGATAATCAGGCAGAAATTAAAGTAAACAAGGGGTTCGGTATGCCTCGTTTGATGACACAGAAAATAAGATGGCCGACAATATCCTTATTTAACCACGTGACCAAAGAAGTGATTTGACGATAAAAGCGACACGTGACCTAGAAGGCGTTTTGAGGGCCGGATTAGGCAGGAACAGAAGACCGATAGCCCCTAAATAGACAACATTTGATCTATTTCCTCCCGGATAAGGCAAAGACCGATTAATAATTGCGCTTCTTGAGGAACTTGTCGCTTTATTCATCCACCGCGTTCAAGTTACGACTGGTGGATAAGACAAGAAATAGAATCATGCGGACGTATGACGAGGAAACCAGAAACTAATTTCCCTGCATGACTCCTGCTCTTAGCTTGTTTCAAGCTTTAAATCCATTAACATAATCTTTTTTTTCATGATCAGTTTGTTTCCTGTGCTCGCTTTTTTGCCCTCTTTCTGTTTAAATTGGGAACAACACTTTGATTCTGAACTATATGCTCAGAACATGCATAAACAAATCAAAACGAAACGAAAACGGGAAAAAAATTAACACAAAATAAAGCAGAGTTGACTGCCAAATACGTAGGCGTGTTCAATCAGGCTGGGGCAAAGCGCAGGTACCCCTGAATATTCCTTATCACAGTATTACTGTCACGTCTTTCGTCAAGACAATTACACAGTGTTCGTTTTCAAAGGGTTTGCTTCTGCTTTGTGGGCATGAGGGGGCAAGTTAATGCAACATTCTTTGTCTTGATTGGGAAATTTGGGCAAATATCCAGTCACCTTTACAATGTAGTGCTTGGTCTAGCATCTCTACAGGCGCTTTTACGGAGGATTGCTGCTGTTTCTACCGACATTTAACTGAATGCGTTGAACAACTGAGGTGATTTTCCGGCACATGCCAACTAAACATCCACGTAAATGAAGATTTATTACTATCTTCAGTTAAAATATTTCAAATTGAAACGTTTATATACAATTTATGATCTCTAGGGTCTTGTAAAAGTTCAAAATGTGTCTCCTGCCTCCACAGCGATAACGTTCTAGTTATCTATTAAGCCATAACAATCTACTCTTTGCGCGCGCAGCAGTTGGAGTTTGAAGACTTCGTGAGCGTTTCCAGCCAAAACTTGAAAGATCGACGAATTCATTTTCCTGACGTCGCGTCCTACGGTTCTTCATTCTCTGAACATATTTGAGGAAAGACAGTCTTTCCTCCCCGGTTTTTGTAGATCTTCTTGCTGCCACTCCGCGCAAAACAAAGCTCAGCTCTTTATCGTTTAACCCTGAAAATGAATACAGCAAAATGTGGTCGAGAAAATAGAAGAAGCATTTAGGACTGGAATAATATATAGATTTAGCCAAGCTTAAAAGCGGAGCTCGCATTTTTTTTCCCGCACGTCTCAATGGCACAACGCCTTGCCCCGGCCAGGACTAGAACCCGGGTCGTCCGACTCGGAGCCCAGTGCACTGACCATTGGACTACTGGACAAAGCCGTGGCGTTGGCGTGCCCGCGGTACAGTTGACCACGCATGTTAAAAGTAGCACCTTGTACGGTCGTACGGCCGTACAACCAAATTTTTTTGGGCTTGATGGGTTACTACTATTTTGTATAATTATGGGGCTGCGCTCTGCGAGCTCCGCTATAAATTCAAAATTAGCTTTCCCTTTGGGACTGCATGGAAAAGAGACTTATCTGGGGAACGGCCGGGGAGGAAAATATACAACTAAGGAATAGCTGCTTGGTAGTTTTCATTAATACTGGACTCACGGGGAAAGGGGCAAGAGGCACTGCCCATACAAGCTATGGATGTCCCACTATGCCTGAATTTGAAAACGGGTGTGAAAAGGGGATGTTTTAGTCTGAAATAGGGTCAGGGGATTGGGTTACCGTGCAGCAAACTCCTTCGAAGATATCTAAGGGGTAACCTCCCCTTCTCTTCCCACTCAAAAGGCCGTCTAAAGCCTGTTCTGACACTAACATGTCTTCAGATGTCTTCATATCACGCAGAGCACTGGAGAGCGTTTTTTGGGAAATAGTTGATGGAAAAAAAAAGGTGAGACCCTCTCTTGCTTTCTTCTTCTAATCAAATTTCACGCTATCATGTCGACCGCGCTGACTGTTTTAGCCATGGGTACGACTGGGGGACAAGTCAGCTTCTACAAATAATGGCTACCTGTGGGGTATTTCTTCACGTTCTAAGCCCCATGAATGTGGCATCTTACAAAGAATTTAAACCTTCAATGAAGAGGTCATTAAGGACACATTCCTACTTCGACGAAACTTATCGCCTGGAAAAGAAGTGTTACTCCTTCCTTTCTAACATTAGCAGACTAAAGGGCTGAAAAAGAAAAAAAAAAAAAGAAATGTAATATGGAGTAACTAAAACATTTCTGCGTCTTACCAGGCAAACTTCTTTCTGGCTCTCTTCTGACCGGGCTTCTTCCTCTCCCTTATCCGTGGATCCTTCATCAATAAATGAGCTGAAAAATAATCAAAAGCAGCTCTTCTACTAAAATTTCTCTTGTTAACCTAGTCATCTGCAATCTGAGGTAAACATGTCCCTCTTTAACACTAAATAAATGGAGTAAGTTTCTAAAGAAACTGCGGTAGGGGAGGGGAGGGTGGGGGAGTATAACAAGAACATTAGGTTTTATCAGTTGAGCTGATAATGTAAATTGTTCATCGTAAAGTGTTTCTAAGCTGACGTTACGATCGTTAGCTCTTCTTCAGAGCGAATCCTATCCAACCCTCCTTGTTCCACCACTTGCATAATATTGCCTTTCTGATATTTTCCCAGGGTTAGGGAAAAACTACCATTAAAAGATTTAATTCCACTCACCGACGATTTTCGATGACTAGCCCCGCCTCTGCCCCACCCACTCCCCTCCCCCTCCGTCCCCCCTCCTTTCCCCCTCCCCCTCCTTGAACCCGCATCTTGTATTTTTGATACCCTGGCCCCAGAGTAACACCTTTCATCTTTCGAATTTTGGTCCTGACACACGACGGAAAAACCTACCCTTAGCCTTGAAAAGCTACAGAAATTCCCGTAACAAAGAGGGGAATTGACATATTTTGGCTCGCACTAATTACGAATCGAAGATAGAAATAGACAAAACGAGCCTCGTACCTTCTTCAAGTGATTCCAAATAGCTGTCTTCAAAGTTAAGAAGAGCCCTACTGATAGCAAGCCTGATAGCACCAGACTGACCTAAATGGATAAAATCAAGAGTATAAAATGAGATTACAGCGTATTAGCAAACACATGTACCTTTCTTAGTTCCCAGAGTTCCCAGGGTTCCCAGTCATTCACTTTCTTTGTACGAACGGACAGGAAACAAATGTTAAAGATGGCCTTATTCCGCACCTTATTATTATGAACTACGGTAGCAAGTGCCAGTTTGTTGTAAATTCCGAAAACCGTGGCGAGGGAACCAACCGTTTGAGTGTTAAGAAGTCTAACCGGCAGTAACAAATGATTTGGTTTCAAATAGCCTTTGGAATTCTACATCGGTTAGTCTTCTTTCTCTACTGATGATAATGGATGGAAATTGTACAACTAAATAATATAGTGTCGTAAAAAACCAAACCAGAGTCACAGTTATCGCAACGGCAAATCAGAATAAGGATGAATAACACAAAGAAAGACAAATCTGCAACAACAACAAACTGCCTGACGCGCGAGACAAGCGAGTGATCACGTAGCAATTAGTCTCCGTCTTACGTTCGATTGGTCGAGAAAGTCAATGGCGCGAGTTTTGTAGACCAATCAAAGGGAAAAATCAAAGTGAAGACTAACCAATGGACGGAATTTCTCACCTGAGTGTCCTCCTCCAAGAACTTCACTTCTCACATCATAGTCACCTACTGCATTAATGGCGAGGAATGGCGACATGATTTGCTTTCTAAAATGGGAGATAACGAGAGAATTAAGTTGTAAAAAAAAAAAACGACTGAGACAAGAAAATTGTCGGTGCGGAATCAAAATGTATATTTCGCAGGGCCTTGTACACTCATCCATGCTGTAACTGAGACCTGTCGCTCAACAGTTGAAGCTTTCCGATTGAGTCTCGTAGGACAAAAACCTAAACATTCCGAGCAACCAATAACAGCAACGGTAAATGTTACAAGGAGCCCAAGGGAACGCAAAGCAAAAGCAAAAGGCAAACTGCATCTCTGATAACGAGGGCCTGCTCGCAAGCTATGCTTTCACTAAGAGCGGTTGTAGATACTCGAGCCATCAACTGCTTAATGAAGCCGACAAAAGAGTTGATTACAAATACCATACCTGTCTTCCATTCTGGGAAAATACTTGACGAAAGGCACTTCGTTAACCGTGACGTTTCCCGAGCCTTTCTTAACCCATACCCTTGCAGTAGCATTTTTGCGGTCACCTGGAGTATGCATTAAAAGACGAACAAATCATTTGTTTGCGTTTGTTATGAATAAAAAATTTTTTCATCGGCATTATTTCTGTTGGATTGAATAAGGTATCGAAGCAAACGGTCCAAAGAGGAGAAATTCTCCCTCTTTTTGACACATCAAAAAGTTTCCATCATGTAGTCATCAGCGTTTTTGATGCCACGCACTGAAAAGCGTGCAACGGCTGCCACGAACATCGTGGATAAACATGGCTAAAAACGAAGGAAAGAACAGGAAAAATGTATTCGTGCCATAAGTGGAGGAAAAGAAGCCATCGATGAGAAGTGGGGAGGGGGGGGGGGAGGAAATAACCAATGGAAAAGAAGTACAAGTCCAACACACCGAAAAATTTTGTTGATGCTCTCTGAAGTGATCAATACAAACGGTGTGAGATCATTTCAATTTAATTGACCCACAAAACTGAGGTTAAACACTGTTTGACCTACCTTCTCCGTAAGCTTCCCCGTCTTCATTAAGCTGTCAAAAAGGGGGAAAAGATTAGTTACACAATAATGGAACTTTCTCATCTAGCCAACTGTTCTCTGTTGCTGCTGAGTCACTCAGACCATACGAGTGTGTGCTAAAAAATCAAGAGCGGACCATGAACTTGTAAAACCTACTTATCACATAAGGCAATCCACATCAAAAAGAATATTAATTGTTGAGTTGAAGTAAATAAGTAACAAGTAAGTTTAAAGCACAGAGAACTTCTTGATCTTCCTGGTCCATCCTGAAAAAGGAATGTCGTCGATGACTGTGCTTGAACTTTTCACCACGAGATTGGAAGTCATCATCAGAGTCGCTTGACTTTTCGCTTCGCTCTGATGAAGACTTCCGCTCATGCAAATTCGTTCCCAGGAACATCTCTCCCTCTTCCCCCCCACCCCATCCTTTGAAAAGGAAGGAAGAGAGGGAACCCTGGGAACGAATTTGCCGAACAGGTTGCCTTGTTCAGGATCAATCTCACGCGGACGATCGCACCTTCTAGTTACTAGTCAAATTCACTTACCTCCTTTATCACTTGTTCTTTTCCTGGCAGAGGTATTTCTTTTAGGAAACGAAGTAAAAAAGGAATTGCGTGATCTGCATTTCGGTGCTTGGTTAATTTCTTGAGTCGATGTAGAATAACTTCAAACTGTATTGATGAAAAAAACCAGACCACTTATCATGTAGTAAATAGTCAAAGAGACAAATTCAATAAACTGATAATTTGGTTTTATCAACTGAGTTAATAATGTAAATTGGCCACCATGAAGAGTTTCAAAGCTGACGATTCGATCGACAGCCCTTCGTCAGAGCGAAAGGAAATGTGTAAAACAATCCGATCTTGGGAGTTAGAAATTTTACCTAAAAACTTAGCTTTTGGAAAAACATTACAGTATGGAGAGAGAGAGATTACACTTCAAAAATTGCCAAATACATTCACGAAAATAGTCGTAGTTTTCTTTATTTTGACTGCCTAAGACGCGTTTGTGACTGTTGTTGTCAACACTGTCAGTACCCATTTTCTATGAACAGCAGGCTAATTCTCCCCGAGGGTGGGTTGGGTAAAAGTTCTTACGCTCCCACCCCTAAAGAGAGCTTGTGCGCGGGTTAGGTACAAATACTACGAGTAACCTACATCTCTATCTGGGAGCAGTTCACCGATCTGCCTTTCCAGTTCAAATTTGCTGATCCATCTCATCTTCTTCCGACTCCAGTTCTCTTTGCTGTGAAATAACAGGGACATGCATCAGCATCTAGGACACATTGTAGAGGTTTTGAAACATATGCAAAAAGCATTAAGATAAACAAAAATACCGAAAAAAAAAAACGGAAGACGGAAGATGTCATAGATTTGCCGTTTGTCAAAGAATAATCTAAGTCCGTAACTTCTTCTTATCTTGATCTAACACCAATTTCTCGAAACTAATTTACAAGGAAATATGTAGCAGCTAGAGGGGATACTAGACAATCAAATCTTGGGAGTTAAAAATTTAACCATACAAGCTTAGTTTTTATAAAAGATTATTGTATGAGAAAGAGATTACACTTCAAACATTGGCAGATAATTCACGAATCTTGTCGTGGTTTTCTTTGATTTGACTTTATGAAGACGCGTTTGTAACTCTTTAGTTGTAAATACCGCCGGTAACCATCTTCTTGTGAGAAAAAAAAGTTCACTGGTAATGTCCGCTAGGGGATATTTTTTTCTGCAGGATCAACCGGGGAAGAAGGCACCCTAGCCCATACAAAGTAAAGTCACAGCGGTCGTATAATTTTTCCAGCTCGCAGAGCCAGCTGTAAAATAATACTTGTCCATCAGTTTGTTGAATTCGTGTACCTCTAATCCCTCTGTTCAGTTGATAAAACGAAGCGGGACACGCACGGCCGCTACTATCGCACCGATTGACTAACTCTACGCCAGAAACAAGCTATGTACCTCCAAACGTCAGCAATGTTATCTGCACTTTCCACATCACTAGCATGTAATTCAATTTCATCACTCGATGACGAGTGGTCTTCTGCCTCCGAACTATCACTGTCAGATGAACCTGCACTATCTAAATCACTGGATTGTGATTCAGTGTCATCACCGGACACCAAGATGTCTTCTTTTTCTGCTGCACCACTGTCAGTTGATGCAGTCTTGTCAAGAGCATTCAACTTGGCTGTGAGCTCATATATTTCCTGCGGGACAAATATCATCACTGTATCATACAATATAATTTGAAATCCTCACTTGTGAGTTTTTTAAAATATATGCCTACAGTATATTAATATGCATAATTATATGCTGTACCAAGGGAGGGAAATACTTACAAACAACAAATCATGGAAGCCAACTTGGCCTGTGTAAAAAGCTGCAGCCTGTGGACGGCCAGATTTATCCATTTGCCCTACATGCAAAAATCCAAAGGGGATAAAAATCAATGTTATATGTACAACTCTGTCAATGGTAAATTTACTTGACAAGAAATCAGATTATCCATGCTTAAAACCTGATCTCCTTATAAAGATTGACAACTACTCAGAATTTGAATTTTGAATATAAAAAGAAGAAAAAGTTGTAGCTACAGGCCCCCCTTTTACCAAGACATACCCAAGCACTTAGTATAGACAAAGAGATTATTTGTAACTAGAATAAGAGAGATAGTAGGTTTTGAGCTTAGCAAAGAAATTGAGAAAGATGTTTTCCATCTTGTTGTGAACATGGGACAAAGAAAAAAATTTTTAGTCCCCATGCTTCACCACTGAGCCACAGAGACTCCATGGTGAGCAAGGTCTATTACAAAGTACATATGACATGCATCCTGCATACTGCTAGGATCAGCAATGTTGATAACAACATGTTTGTAAATAGAATAAAACATCTTTCTCCTAAGTCATCTTTCCTCTTAAGAGACATATAAGAAAATAAGACAGAAGAATGATTACAGAAAAACATGAAGCAATCTTCAAAGAATCAGAAGAAGTGTATCTTTATAGTCAGTTGCACAAGACAAAATAGATATAAAATTAATATATTTATGAAAATAATAAATACATAAGATAGAGCTAGATATCAAAATGAATATGAACATAAAAAATAGCCACAAATATAAGTACGTAGAGACACAAGTGATATATATGCCTGTACCTGTCCATTGTCTGTAAAGTGTCTTAGGGTGCTATGAGAGGGTAAAAACAGAGGTAGATATGAGCAGCAGGTATTGTACAAGCTTGAACATTACAGAAAATGTTTTTGTTTTGTTTCACTCTACTCTGCACTTAGTCTAAGAAAACTGTGCCATTTTCCTTACCATACAGAAACAAACCTGATGCTAAACAAAACTAATTCACATAAATTTTCCTATGCCTGATACAACAAGCTTTCACACAATCTAGATATGGAAAGCTTATAACTGCCCACTTGTACTTTAGGTAGAGCTGTTGCTGATACCTCAAAGGTAGGACGACAATCCTTAGCATACAATCCAGATGGTAACAAGTATTCAACTGCTTCCTAAAAATAAAATAATGATTAAAACATGTAAATACAAAAACATGGTTCTCCAGAGGTACATTTGTGGTGTAAACAACAAATAAAGTTGTGATGTTCATAAACATCCATTTTTTGCTTGTTTAATAAATTTGTCTTTTACGTGTATAACAAAAAACTTAAGCATAAATCTCAACATTTTCCTGGACTTCATCCTAAGAAACATCAAGGCTCTCTGAAAACAAAGCTAACCGTTTCCCAAGGGTACAGACATTAAGCGTATATTATACTCAGTACCTGCGCATCCTCTAGGCTGAACGATTCAGGATCCTTCCCCATCAACTTTGCCAACCATAAGTGATACCTTTCATATCTCTCAATCATCATTTGCATTGATGGATCTGGGTGTGAAACACAAATTGCAAAAGGTCACTGTTGTATAATACTATCCAAAAGAACTCTTTTCCTTTGTTTCATTAATGTTCAAAGTTTTTTATGTCTTGGCTGTGATTGTTCTTCAGATAAAAAGATCTTTCATTCTTTTACTTTCAACTGATGTCTCATCATAAGACCAAAAATGTTAGTTGGCCCCAATTGAAATTTAAGTTTACATTTAAAGGATACTCTCCTATTACTTGGTATCTGACCTTTTTACCCAAAGAGTGACTAAAATCTAATTCTCCTCATAAATTCACACCTGAATCAAATGTTGTGGTCAGAAGAGTAAAGGAAATGACAACCAACTAAATAAGATATTGATTGTTAAACAAATTCTCCTTGTCAGCAACTTAGGAAATGTATAGAGAACAGTATGGAGAATATGCATACTGATGTTTTGGTGTGAAGGGTTAATAAGTGTCTGTCTAACTATTAAATTTATGGAGTGTGTCAGAAATGTGTTGGATATCTTTATTAAAAAAACAAAACAGAAACCTTCATCATCCTGCTCCCCCTCTGAACCAGTAGAGCTTGAGACATCGATACCGTCTACAGCATTCCTAAAGTTTTCTTGCATCAAGTACTGAAAACACAATTATTAATTTTAATAATTCTCAAAAACATCATTAAATGCTGGCAAACTTCCCTGTAAATAAAGGAAGTCATTCCACACAAAATACACACTGAATTTTTGTGGAGGTAACACACAGTTTCTAGGTCTAATATGAGTATAAACCATTGTTGAGAGCACATGTTCTTGTAGGTTATTGACTTCATGTTAGTGCTTCCTTAAATTTTCTGTTACTAATGAGCTCTATCACTCAATTTTTCTTATATTCATTTTACTTTTTCTTAATCCAATGTAGGGTCACGATCAGTGATCCAATCTATAAACCAATCAGTCGTCTGATCCGTAGTCCACCTAAAATGATCCCATCAGTGTTCTGATCCACTTTTGATTACATGAATACCTCTTAATTTGTGTAGGGCAAGCCAGTTAGCTGCAATAAAAAACTAGAATTATTTGTTCTATGCATGAAATTATAAAGATGAGCTGAAAATTATCGCTTATACGTGACTAGCCCTTTTTGCATAGGTGTGTACTCTTGGTATCCAAAAACACAGGAAAACAAAGGTACATGAAGGGAGTTTAAAACTTACCTGGGAAAACTTTAAAACACCTGACGCACGTGAAGACTTTTCATCTGCATAAAACCTTTTATTTGAAACCTTCAAAGCAATATACGATGTTTAAAGTTCACTAAAAAAATCAGCTGATCAGAAACAAATTTGCAAAAAGGATGTCCAGCTATATTTAAAACTTCGCCTCCAGAAGAACTCGCACAGTACTTTTGTCACTGGTATAAGCTTATTATAGACAATCCTCGATTCGATTCGGCATCAAAAATATTTAAAATTAATTGAACTCGAATCAAATTCAAGAATCGAAAAGTTTGATTTTACACACATTACCTCTAATGTACTAGTGACACAAGCTGTTGGACATCTCCAAAGATATTTCGAAGTATTGATGTTTATTCTGCTCGCCCTGGAGTAACAAAATGAAGATGCATAAGCTCGGCAACAAAAGCGTGCACCAAATCTCACTCCGGACGCCATTTTGGATTAAAATATTGGAGCCCGCAAAAATGACTTTACTCAGCGGAAATTTGTCTTGCAGAACCATTGATATAAGCCGTTACGTAACTTGTACAGCTATAAAAAAAGTCCCAATCCCTAAAATTCGTCCTAAACAAAGAATTTCGTAAGAAAATTAGGTAATTATTAAAACTAAGAAGTTCATCTGCGGCTATATCAATGCGATGGCAGCCGGATGGCTTCGGTGGGATCTCCTTTAACCAAGAAAAAATAAGTTTTCTACTTTGTCTACTTTGCACCTCTTGCCTGACCTACCGGAAATACTATTGCATCTCGTACCCCCAATCTAATAACTTATGTACTTCTGTACTTCTTCTACCTCTCCACCCCCCTCCCCTTATCAATATGATGATTCATCTCATCTTACTCTGAAGGAAAGCTCCTCCACCATAGCTTATACAACCCAAGTCGGCAGAAGAGAGTTAAACAAATTGGAAGATGCCAAGTTGAACTTTCCTTCATATCTTTTCCATAATTTACATCTAGGCTTATGAATAATAAGGGCAGTATATAAAAAAAACGGTTTTTTTTTATATATCAGAGAGAATATGCGATAAGAGATAAGTGCGGCACATGAGAAATAATCTCGAACAGGTTCACCGCCAAATTGAAATGACTGCAGCCACTGCACTCCATTAGCAATTCTGCAGCGTTCGGAGAAGTATTTTATCAAATATGAAGTTTTAATAGTTGACCATTTTTCTGTTCTAACTGATCCCTTTGGATCTGCCCATGGCAAGTTTCGGTTGGACATGGTAGTGATGATAACATATGATAAGAGTGAAGGTGGGGGGGCCACTGGAGAGGGTTACGCACATTTGCCGATCTGCGCTATTTTTTGGCCCGAACCCACGGTTACGAAAGTAGCGTTATAGCATTACAAACTGTTTTTTTTCTTCATTTTTTTTTAGCTTTCTCTAAAGGCCAAAGAATGAAATCTGAAGTCCACAAAAGACCGAACATATACACTCCAAGCTCCAAGATTGACTGAAGACTCTGAAGACAGGAACGATGGGATCCACAATCTGAACTTCAATTTTGGACAGTCGATCCATTATAGGAGACAAAAATTCCGTCCGATCCGCGATCTACGTTATTTTTTCAATTCCCTGATATGATTGTTTGCAAAAATCCCTAAACCGAGGTTTTCTTTTCAACTGAAATCCGCCGTAACCAAAAGCTTAACCGTAAAATTATCTAGGATAAATTAAAATTCTCGTTTGAACGCATCAGTGATGCATTCAAATTACTCACTATGTTTGTGAAAAAATAAACGAGCTACCTGTTGACCGGCAACTGTGTTTAATAGTATCACGCTCGTGTAAGCGTAGCAGCTTAGAAGTGGAAAATATTTCACGCATCGGTTTACTTCATTGAATACGCCCTGAACAAATTACCCGACCTAGAAATGCGAAACGGGTCAGTAATTGATACCCTTAAAGCCAAGGTTGATAAAATAACTGAATTGGCCGAGAGCAAAGCTTCAAACTTGGTGTATACTCAGGTTATACCAAGGAATTTGAATCAAGATTAATCATGAAGAAAGCTTTATTATGTTACACTGATTTGATGTAAAAGAACCCTTCACTTTGTCACCGTCAACAACAAATCAACAAGTTTCAGATAAATTCAAGACTTGCGCCAAAGAGAATGTACAAAGAAGAAATAAATATAATGGTACAATATCCTCCTAAACATAAATTTAGCTCCCAAAAAAGTTCAATATTCACCTTAATACGAACGAGTTTCGCTCTGAAAACGTCGAATTACTATGCAATATTGTTTTTGCCTTTCGCGCCTTTTCATGAAGTTACCATATTAGGAAGTCAGTAATGTCTTCCATCGCTCCTCAAGCCGCACGAAAGCGAGGCTAGCTGCATTGAGTAAGAATAGGAAATGAACGGAAGTCAAAATCAAATGGTTCCAGGATAATCAGGCAATCCCCAATGTCTGACACATCGATATGCAAGCTTCTGTGGTCGTCTTTCTTCTGGCCTGGTTTGGATTAGCGACCACAAACGAAGAAAGCGACGGAGAAGTACATTTTACTAATTCGTGGGCCGTTCATATCGAAAATGACGACTTCGAGGCGGTGAACAATATCGCACAAAAGCACGGCTTTGTAAATCAGGGACAGGTAGGTTGATACGGAGCCTTAGCCACCCTGTCAAAGTTGCAGCGATTCGATCGCTTTCGGAGCAAATTTGTTTTAAACGAGCGTTAATCTCTGTGCGCGAAGATTAAGCGCTTGATTTATTTGTTTTGCTATTTGGGTCGGGCGCAAAGACTGGTTGCTTTTATTATGAAGGTCAGTGAGGTACCAGAAGCCATGTCACTTCCTTAGGATCAACAAATGTCAACCTGCACTTGTTGATGTTTTGTGTCTTCTAGATAGGGAGTCTTCCGGGATACTACCATTTCGTAAAACATAATGTTCGAGAGAGATCGCGGCGGAGCCTGGATGATCACAGCGATACCTTATTATCGGAGCCAAGAGTAAGTTTCATATCTGTGTATCTCTTTATTGTCTCTTTATTTTACTGGTGGATTTGAATTTAATCACAGATTGCTACCGGTGGATATTCAAAAGATACCCTCCTAAACCATGCACTTGTAACTTAACTCAAAAATTAATGTTATTAATCCCGAGAGGAAAAGGTTAAAAACATCTTTCTTAATCACTGATACTGTGCAAAATAATTGACTGATTTACGGTTTGTGGTTCATGAAATTTAAATTGTTCAGTGACTGTAGTAACACCAGCTCAGAATGTGCAGTCACCACGAGACTTAAGAGAGCGTAAATCTTACTACCACTGTCTTCTGACAGCAAAATTATCGACTCGTGAAATTTTCCGACAAGTTTGATTAAACCTTCCGGCTTCTTGACACATATCTCAGAGATGTCTTTACTTCGTAAATACACCTTCAGGGAAAACTCTGCTTGGACTTGAGTCAATTTCGCACATTTAGCTAATTGCAACTGATTTTTTAATCAGCTGATTACCGGCTTAGCTTTTTAACTTTAATCACATCCTCTAGTAAGTTTATCAAGGAAGAATTTTATATTTTTGCCTTCAATATTTAGCTCGGTGTCTACGAGTTTCACGTCTAGATCTGAAGTAGCTTGATAAATTTGTCTTCAAATTTCCACGAATTGTGTTGACCTTAGGCAAGCCTATGATGCGAAAAGAGCGAAAAAGTTATTCAATTTCCTGTTCACCATGCAAATGAGCTTAATGTAACAGCTCTTTGTCACTTTTCATGTACTTTAAGGACTTTTTTTCTTAATATTACCAAATCTTTTCCGCGATGACAGTAACTGAGAACAAACTCGCTACACTTATTGTAAGAAGTTCATGATTTTTCTTGGAAGCACCGAAAAAAAAAAGGAAAACGCCTCGACGCGAAAAGTCTTAGGGTCTCTTTCATTGATTATACTTCACGGTATAATTCGATTTCCAGGAATGAATCTTTTAATGTTTCTTCAACCAAAATTGACACAATGAATCAAACGGTAAACACCACTGAATAACGAAACTATCAAAGTTCGTCTAGAGTAACATGACCTGTCGGATGACCATTGTTCGAGGTGTTTCAATAACAGACAGTTATCAGCGATCTATCGCTGCTAAAAGACTTTCACCGCCACTTGTCTGGCTTGCGAAAAGGCTCGTATGCGAGCTTCCCCCTTACAATCCCTCTTCCAGATACAGCCGTTTATTATGTCATCGGCAGCCGCTTCTTAGTGGAAAAAGTTATTGAAATCCTTGTGATCACTGCAAAATTACAAGATTTCCCTCAAGGAGATGGAGCTTATAGTTATGTTTCAGCAATTTTTGATAATAGATGATATAAATCCAATCATTCAAGATTGTCCTTCTGGTCATATCGAACAACGCCACACAAGTCTTCGCTTCAGTATTTAATCTGCTGAAATATTTCAACCCTATTGCAGTATAACTGCTCATTTATATCTAATCTGACTCACCTGAAAGTCGTAATTAGGTCATTGTCGCTGTCTGCAATTAAGTTACAAAAACGAAGGTGGTAATTTAGACGGACAATCCTTGTCTATGGCAACAGAGACACTGAGGTGACGAAAACACCTTAACGATGCAGGTTATATGTTTAATAAAATATAGGTGCAACGAGTACCCATGATAAAACTGTTAGTTTACTGGTTTGAGCTGAAATCAATCCATAGCTCTGTTAATTTAGCTCCTTGTTCAAGTCAGTTATTAAGGTAAATATAATGTATAGTGTTTAACTCTCAGGTGAAATGGGTGGAGCAGCAAAGAATTCTGGAACGGAGCAAGCGTGACGTCATACAGGGTGAAGACGAACTGGTACAGAGATCGGTGGCTACACTCAGGCAGGATACCGCTTTCACAATCCGCGATCCCTTCTTCAAGGATCAATGGTATTTGGTGAGTAGTCAGTTAACCATGGGTCAGTTGCTTCTCCGTTATTTCCAAACGACCCTTACGTTGGATAGGAAATGCCCATTTCGTAGCTAGATTCATTCAAAAACAGTCAGAAGGCATTTCTAAAAAAAAACAAAAGCTTGTTGTACCAACAAAAATAGATTTTAAGGGATATTCATCTGCAACTCAGCAATGAAACGAGTTTTTGAATGAGTTCATCGCACTTTTAACAGCTCTCTAGATGCGTAAAGTAGCAATTCATTTACCGTGAAGACGAACCCAAGCATTAGTAAGTGTGCATGGAAAAATAACAACTTGATTTTAAGCCTACTTCATGGAAAGTCAATGCTAATTATTTAATCATTTGTTATTGTTGTTTAAACAAATTAGGTGAGCTGTTTTTGATAGTGAGCAAAGTGGTCAGCTCAAATCCCTTTCGTTATTTTAACGATGCATTTGTCCCATACCTTAAACTGGTACTTTTGGGCTTATGTTTTCATTAGCAAAATATCGGACAGTCTTCAGGACCCAGCGG